TCTGAAATCAATAAAAATACATTAAAACATATAAACATCCTAAAAGCCAAATTTGTATTGGGTGGGATTGGAAAAAGAACGAATTTAGAATGAGAGGAGGGGGAGGGAGAGGACTCCCAGGGCAGCAGTCCAGGGGAAAGAAGTCTCCGCAGCCTTGCAAGGACAGGAGGGGCGCCTGGTTTACAGAGAGCAGCTGCAGACACAGGCTTCTGTTTAGTAACTCTGTGGGGAACAAGCCTCTTAGTCAACACTCGAGCCAGAAGGTGGTGAAACAACTGTTTACTGGTGTGTGGCATTTCTTTACCATCTGTGGCCTCCTGTGGGAATCTATAAGTTCCTGGATTATCATTTTAACATATTTTAAATGGATGGCATCACTGATTCAATAGGACATGTTTATTAATTGAGACGAAGGCTCTCTCCAAACCTGATCAGAAGTAAATCGCCTTGAATCCCGGGGAGGAGGAGGTTGTATGTGTTTTAATACCCTCTTGGCAACTGGCTGACCCAGAAACTCAGCCTAATGAGATTTGGACAGCAGGCTTCCAAGAAGGAGATCGATTGTGGTGTGCTGTGCTTAATGCGGCCAAGTCTAGGGTGGTGCAAAATGAATGGATGCCCAGGATGCCTGCGTTGCAGGGAATTGCATTTCTGTAAAGAGCCATTGCACATATAACTGGTGTGACAGAAATAAAGCTGAGTGGAAAGGAACATCTACTCTGAAATTGAAGTTAATAGCGACTTCAGAAATGAGTGTCTCCCAGTATTGCATTGCAATGACAGGGAGCAGACCAGTCTTCTTAAAGACCACTTTGCTCGCAGGTAAATCCAGATGTTCTACCGGGAGGTGTCTATCAAATCTGCCCACTTCTCTCGGTCAGTACTGTCCTTAGCTGAGGCTGCCCATCACCTGGACCATTGCAGTGGCCCCTTAACTTTCACAGACGATGCGGAGGGGTATACATAGTAGTCTCCTAACAACCATAACAGTGACACCAGCTGGCCTCCCTGCTCTTCCTGGAACATGTCACATGATGTCCTGCCTCAGACCCTTAGCATGAACCCTTCTGCATGGCTTTTCATGTCATTTGACTCCTTTGCTCAAGTGTCATCTCAGAGAGAGCGTCTCTGGCCACACTGTCTAATTCAGGACCCCTGTCCCCACTCCCTTACCTTACTTCATTTTTTCTTTGTAGCACATCTTGTGGCATTATAGTAAATATTTGTCTTGCTTATTGGACTCTAAACATCTTGAAAGGTGGGGCTGTACTTTCTTGTCCTCCTCAATACCATGTCTCCAGAGCCTGGGACAGTGCAATGCTCACTCACTATTGTTGTGTACATTGGTGGATACTCTTGGGTACACTCCATGTGCTCACTGCGCTGCAGTCACAAGGCCTTTTAGCTCCTAGAATCTCTCGATGCTCCTTCCTGACCCTGGTGCCTTTGCACGTGCTGTGCCTTCCTTCTTTATGGTCTGCATCCTCTCAGTGGGCGGCTGGCTCCTTCGTATCTTCGAGTCTCTGCATAGGTTTCCTCCTCAGATGGAACAGCCTCCTAGCCTGTTCTTCTCCAACTCAGTGTCCCCGATCTCACTCACAGCACCCCCTCATCTTCACTCTGTCAGCACCCACAGTCTCTGTTATAAACATCGCCTTGCCCTCCTTTCTCACTGATTTTCTTCTGGCAAAATCCCAAACCTCCTTGCCCCATTTTCTCATTTCTATCTCGGAGCAACTGAACGCGCCTAGAAAAGATTGCTGTGGTGCCCACGGACTCGCTTTAGACGTGTATCCACAGATCCAGGACGCTCACGCTCCTGGCAGTTCTGACCTGTTTCTCAATCAATCTCCATTTCCACTTCTTTAAAAAAAAGTATTTCATTCTTTAAAAAAAATTTTTTTTTATTGATTTCAGAGAGGAAGGGAGAGGGAGATAGAAACATCAATGATGAAGAGAGAATCACTGATTGGCTGCCTCCTGCACATCCCCTACTGGGGATTGAGCCTGCAACCCGGGCATCTGTCCAGATGGGAATGAAACTGTGACCTCCTGGTTCATAGGTCAATGCTCAATCACTGAGCCACACTGGCCGGGTTGTTTCAACTTCTTACTTGCATTCTTTCTCTTCTCAAACTTCTACCCTGAACCCTCCTCCACCAGCCAGTGACCTCATAGTTCACCACGGAATAGATGGAATCACATGGAAACGGACTCATTGCTCCCTATTTTTATTTCCAGTTTCTCTGTAGGGCTAGTCATGCATTTAGAATTCTTTTCCCTGGGTAGAGTTATTAATCAAAAGATATGATTCTTCAACAAATGACAAATGCTAGCAAGGATGTGGAGAAAAGGGAACCCTAGTACACTGCTGGTGGGAATGCAACCATTATGGAAAACAGTATGGAGTTTCCTCAAAAAATTAAAAATGGAAATAAATACTTATTTCCATTTTATAAGTAGTATGTGTTAATGCAAAGTGCACAGAAACAAGTAAAAAAGGGTGTGTTCTCCACCCAAAGGTAACCTATGTTTACATTTTGCTCTACTGCTTTTTAGATTTTTTTCCCAAGGCCAAGTTATTTTTGGTGTTTTTTATTTAGTTAAAATCACATTATGTTCTCAGATAGAATCTAAACATAAAGACATAGCCTATAAGAAAAATAGAAGATACTTACCACTGGTCTATGTATGTAGATTATTTAAGACTGACTATGCTTGAGGGTTTAATTATTTTTTAAATGATGATAAATGAGACTTAAAAAAAATAAAAGTATGCCAACTTTAAAATCAGACTGAATTGAGGACTTAGAGCTATAAGAAAATCAGATTTTGTCGGATGTTTAATGTACCACTGGAAAGGCTAGGGCATCCCTGTTCTGCGGGGAACAATGCCAGCCTTGGTGGAGCGCTGGTGAGATCTCTGTCCACCTGGCCAGGCTGTAGTTCCCAACGAGTTAATGAAACTCTAATCCAGGTGTTGCTGTGGGAGTATTTTGTAGATGTGGCTGACACCTCTAATTAGTCGACTTGAAGTGAAGGACATTGCTTTTTATACTGAGTGGGCATCATCCAATCAGCTGAAGGTCTTAAGAGAAAAAACTGAGATTTCCGGCAGAAGGGGAAATTCGGCCTCAAGACTGTAGCATCAACTCCTGCCTGAGTTTCCAGCCGGCCAGCCTGCCCTAAAGATTTCATCCCCACAGCTCCTTAAAATAAAGCTTTCTATATGTATCTCTAGCTCTAGCTTATCTGTAGCTCTATCCTTGTCTCCATCTCTGTCTCTTACTGGTTCTGTTTCTTTACAGAGCCCCGACTGACACAATGATCCCAATGGTTGGAGATTAGGATGGGGAGGAGTGTTTAGTTAGAGAAAAGCCTAGCCCTCTCCCCATTCCTATCACTGAAGAATCAAATAAGCCAGGTCCCCTTGTACCTTGAGGGAGGCTCTATGATCACCCAGTGCTTTCTCTGAAATACCCATGCTGTGTGTAGGTGGTGTGACTTTGTCAGCGATGACACCATTTTCATCAACCTTAAGCTTGTGTCTTGGAGATGGGGTGGTTGGCCCAAGTCGGCCTTTAAATAACTGAGGAGCTTTCTTTTACCATAGATGCCATTTTAACTCACCTCTATTCTCAAAAAAGGACCCAAGCTTCTCTTCAAATGATGGAGATGTGTATTGATTGTTATGCCTTAAGTTAAAATAAAATGTCTAAGGCAGTGGTTCTCAACCTTCTGGCCCTTTAAATACAGTTCCTCATGTTGTGACCCAACCATAAAATTATTTTTGTTGCTACTTCATAACTGTCATGTTGCTACTGTTATGAATCGTAATGTAAATATCTGATATGCAGGATGGTCTTAGGCGACCCCTGTGAAAGGGTCATTCGACCGCCAAAGGGGTTGTGACCCACAGGTTGAGAACCGCTGGTCTAAGGCATGTTTCCCTGCTTTTTCTTTTTCAATTAACTTCTCAGCTATCAGAGCTGATCACACGTACTGGGCTGATTCGATCAGATTTAAACAGTTTCATGCAATGAGTTGGCTCCTTAAACATTTTTTTTGATAAAAGGTAAACTAAGTCAAATTATCCAAATAACCAGAAATTTCCAAATTTGTTTGACTTAGTGAAATATATTAGTAATTTCCCATTGATTTTCAGAGAGAGTGGAGAGGAGGGGACAAGCGGGAGGGAGAGAAAGAGAGGAGAGACACATCAATTGATTGCCTCCTGCACTTGCCCCATTGGCAGGGGACAAGGATGGAACCTGCAACTTAGGTACATGCCCTTGACCGGGAATCAATCCTGCGACCCTTCGGTGTACAGGCCAGCACTCTAACCACTGAGTCACACCAGCCAGGGCCAGTTGTGCATAATTACTAGATTGGTGAATTAGAAGAAGTGGCTCTTAACCTATGTGAGAATTTAGCCCAAATTGAACGTGCATGGAAAAGTCCAGTTTTGCGTAACTGAAATTTCCGGGGTCCTATGCAGTGTTTGGAGATGAGATGGGAAGGATGTCTCATGTGATTTGGAACTCTTGTGTGAGGTTCATGACAAGAAGCCTTTCATTTGTAAAATATTATATATATGAAATTATTAGAAAAGGAATTGCACTTGTGGTTCCAAATAATGAAGAATCTGTGTAACATTTTATCAGTGACTTTTAATAAAGTATTTGTGGTTTGCTGATAAATATTAAGGTGTGTTGTGAGAAACTGAAAACTCTTAAAAATAGCAGCTCTCTACTCTGCCACTGGCAAAGTAGTAAGTCAACTGTATGTGCCCTTCAGTCTTTGCTATGGTTAAGAGCCTCATCAGCTCAATTATTTACCTGCACTAAGAAATAGGAATAACATTCTAAGAATACACTAATATAGAGAGGTACAATAATTTGTGGATATATATAGACTTTTATTCTATAAATATACATTTTATACTTTTATTGAAAAATTAATCTTGCTACTGTTCTGTCTCTTCCCCTCCGCCCCCCCAGATATTGTAAGAGAAATACTACAAAAGAAGTTTGAACTCTCAATGGATTATGGGAAGGTAATTTTTATTGATGTATTTGTTATTAAAATAAGTATGAAAAAATTTTGACTGACTTGAAAAGTAAATCTTTAAGCAACTGGTTATGTAATCTGAATTTAGAAACCCTTTTTGATGAACTTTTGTGGAATATTGGGGCACCTTATAAATCTCATTTGAACTACAGCAAAAATGACAAAAGGAGCGTTGAAAGAAACCTTCACCTTTCAAATTGTATGTTATTTAAAAACTAAAATTTCCGTAAAGACAGTAGTAGGCTACTTCCTTAGCTAACCGAGGAGAAGTTCCTTGAGCAATGTGGGGGTTGGGGTGCCAATCCCCATGTAGTCAAAATTCGGGTATAGCTTTTGACTCCCTAAATCCTTAATTACCAATAGCTGTTGAAGAGACTCAAAAAGAGCCTGGAGGTTTTGCTAGAAATAAATGACAAAGATGTATTCATGGGTCTTAGAGTCTGCAGACTGAACACAGCTAGCAAACCCCAGAAGTGTTCCAAAGGAGAGAGCCACGGTCAGAGTTACAGGAGAGTCACGTTCTTGAGACTAACCCTGTGTCCTTGGCCTCTGGGTTGGTCTGAGGTCATGATCTTCTCCGTGACACGGTGGTCTGGATGCTGGATGTCAAGGGGTCTGGATACGTGGACATTCTCGCCTTAGCCCTTCAGGGGGTAGCCAGAGATTTGATGTACAGTCTAACCTCCTTTCTTGAATGTCTCCCATCTCAAACAATTCGGTTCTCAACCAAGTTGTTCACAGGAAAAAAAGTCTTGGTTGTTGACCAAAATTTCAGTTTTCAACCTGACAACCCTTCCATGCTGATAGCTCAGCATGACAAAAAGCGTCTTTCCTACAAACAAAGAAAGAATGCTTTTGTTGCTGGTGGTTAGCACAATTTTAAAACATAAAGAGGCCATCAAGAGTGCGAATGTTGTTAAGGGTGTGAAAGTGCTCACAAAAGCAGCAATCACAAAAACAAAACAAACAAAAAAACCAGCAATCACAGGCGATTGAATAGATAGAAAAACTGTTGTTGATTTGGATAAAGGAAAAGCAGTTAACTGGTGATAGCATTTAGGAGGTAGCGAGCGATATGTGAAAAATTTCTTTAAGGTTAGTAGGGAGTGGTTACATAAATTTAAGAAAAGAAGTGTTTATTGATAAGTTAGACATGTACTGTATATAAGAAAGGTTGAAACAGAATCATTTGAGGGTCTGGAACAGATTAAGTCAATTTACATTATTTCTAATGGGAAAAAAATGATTCTGTTTTTGAACAAATCGCTTCTCAAACAGCCTTCTGGAAGAGATTAAGTTCAAGAAATGAGGTTCCACTGTATATCTAGACATTGATACTGGGCTTGAAAGTTCAAACGTTTAAGTTCCCAGGCTACTTACAGCAAAAAAATAGCATCACTTCCTCATACCTCAACCTACTTGATTTCACAGCTCGACTATATGTACCTTCACTCTATTCCCCATAGCCCACTGTTGGCTTTACCGATAACATAAGCAATTGAGTAACACATGTTCTGTATGTTATATGTATTGTGTACTGTGTTCTTACAATAAAGGAAGCTAGAAAAAGTGTTATTAAAAAGTCATAGGGAAGAAAAAATATATTACAATACTTTGCATATTTATTGAAAAAATCTGGGTATGAGCAGACCTGTTCTGTTCAAACCCATGTTGTTTTCAGGAGCAACTTATAGCGTGATGATGCACTGCCTATAGGAACATGCTCTCCTTTCCAAATGAGGAAAGCATCTTCTAGGTATCGCAGAAGGCGGTGCAAGAATGGGTAGAAAGCTGTGCAGAGAAAGCCCTTGACCGGATCATCATCTGAGGCTCGCTGGAGCTCGGGCATGACAGCAATGCTGGTGTGCATTGATTACTACTTCTTATTGTTACTGATTGAGCATTACACTGACAGGCTCTGGTCTGTGCTCCATGTGACCTAACCCACTTAACGTGCACAAACTGGTACATGCAAAGCACTTAGAACAGAGTGATGCAGAAAGCATGTTGCTCCTCACTGTTTCTCAGGTTGTCTTTGCAGTAACCGTGTAAAATAGGAAAATGCAGACACGCAGTGGCAGGGCTGAGCTGCAAACCATGGCATCGCTATGATGATACCCTCGTACATGCATGACAACCAGCATGGCAGGGAGAAGGTGGAAAGGCACCCCACTCCCCAGTGGGGTTTGCTGGTGCCCCATCAGACATGACAGACAGGCTGACGTCGGGGGAGGGAGGGAATGAAATACGAACAATCAGCTGCCTGGTGTAGCTCATAGGCTGTGCTGCCTGTCTGCAGCCCAACATGGGCGCCAACAGCCGGTTTCCTACTCACAGCCACTACCAGGGCCATTTTAAAGGTTCCTGCTCTTCCCCGAATTTCCTGACACCCTCTTCAGGGGAGGAGCCTGAAGTCAGTGTTTAACATGCCCTGTGGGGTGCCCGTGGTAGTGAGTTTGGGAGGAATCAAGCCTGGGGGGAGGGCCCCCACCCAGGAAGCCAGGCTGAGGTCATTCAGCATGCCCCATGTGACCCTGGAGGCAAAGGTATCTGAACTGCCCAGGCCAACATTTTGGATATCTCATTTACAAGTTAATACCATCACATTCTTCTCTCCCACCTGTGGAAATCTGCCATCTAAAACAATAGTTTCTATACTTGGATTTCTTGGACCAGACAGTTTCAAAAAGTAATCTGGGGAATGACCTAGAGCCACCTAATTTCATTTTGCCACATAAGGACATTTATTAAGTCAACCATAATAACTTTTGTTTCCTTTTATACACATTTCGCCTCTTCCATCCCCCCCCCCCAAAAAAAGATAGTCTTATAAAGTGAGTGAATTTTGCTTTATGGGAAACTCATTACATCTTTATTTTTTGACTTCCCTGAGGGTTGGTCCACCTTCATCGCTGACCAGTCCCTGTCTCTGGGCCACCGTTTAGAAATCATTGGTCTTAGGCAGTGGCTCCTAGTCCCTCAACTCATCATTTATCTGATTCTGAACAGGCAACTCTTGTATGCCAGGTCCCGGGCTGGGCACTGGGGAGAGGATGGCAAGTGTGGCTGTCACTGTTCTCCATGCCCCCGAGCGTACAGCCAGTCACCCCAAGAGGAGTGAGTGCTGTGAAAGGGCAAGTAAAGGACTCCGAGGCAGCATGAAGGAGGATGGGCAGCAATCCCAGTCTATCTCGACGAGGAGGAGCATACAACAAAGGATGTTGAGTTTTGGGGGGAAGCATAATGGGAATGATATTCTGGACAAGGAGGCAACATGAGGGAGTTAGAGTGAGGAAGGGGAGAGAGCAGGTGCTTTCTGGAGACTGCAGCGGTCGGGGCGAATGGGGCCGTGAAGCCAGGGGTAACCCTATTGGGCCACCTTAAGAAGTCTGACTTAAACACGGTGAGGCCCATGGGATGCTATTAGGCGAGGCAATGATACCACCGGGTTTTTATTTTAGAAAGGATACTTTGGGAGGTGGTGCCCTTGGCTCCGGGGCTCTAGGCAGCTGCCACTTCTCTATTTCACGAAGGCCACATGGGTAGCGTGTTAAGCAATTGCATCTTTCCTTCCCAGCCCCCTCTCCATACCTGATCAGTGTACCTATTCAAAACCTTCCCAGAAATCCAAACGTGATTCAAATGTAAGTTCCAGAACTTGATTCTACCAAAGCACTCTGCCTCCAACAAGCACTCAAGGTTTCTATGTCTGCCTTGTGTTGGTCTTTCTCTCACCCGACTTTTCTCTGCGGCTGACCTCTCACGCAACTTTTTCTGTTTTCTTGATGCACGCTGCCTCCGCCTCCCACAAACTCCACTGCTGTGGCCTCCACAGCCAGAAAGCGTGGTGTTGACTCTGCAGGTAAAGTCCTCGTCTGCTCGTCCCCATTGCTCTGTCTAAAGCCAGCGAGTTGGGTCAATGTATTGCTTTTTCCAGAACTTCCTCTCCTTCACTGTCATGTCCACCGTAATGGTCTTTAGATGATTGGTTTCACTTTGGTCTCTGTCATCGTCTTTAATCGTCCTTCGGTTGTAGTAGTTCAGGGGAGAAAAGTGACCCATCTTGGCAAATTCAGATCCCGATCTTCCCTTCAAGGCAGTTCACAAAGCGCCCCAGAGATCCTGGTGTTTCAGCACGTCATCGAGGCCCATGAAATGACATCTGTCCTTATGCTGTCCGACCTAATATTTAGTAACATAGGAAAGCTTGTGTATCAAAGATAAAATTTGTGTTTGGAGCTAAGGAGAGGATATTTAAAACATGTCAATTCACTTTCTCCCCTGGGTTTGGGTTCAGTGTTTCTTAAGACTCAGAAAGGATTATAAATTCCTTGAAAAATAGTAAGTAATTTAGAATATTTGCTGAGAAACTATAGCAAAATGTATAAATAAGAGTTTAGGGTTGGTTTCTCAATTGGCCAATGATGCAAATCCTCAAGGGAGCCAATGAAGACTCCCTGTCATGGGCCTTAGTTTAATTAGGACCAGGTACTTGAAGAATGTGGCAAAATTTTGCCACTTTTTTTTTCTTTTAGCATCCTAACCTCAATATCTAAATAGATAATATTCGAGTGCCATGTGCCCCTGACTTAATAAATACTCTTAAGCATTTGCCCCCAGAGTTAACCAATAGGAGTTGAGTATTTGCTGCATGCTGGGCAGTTGGCTAGTTGTTTTCCGGTTAAACCATTAACTGTGTGTCCCTCACACTGTGCTATGGGGTCAGAGCTACTGTAACGCTTTCCAGTTCAGGGAACCAGACGCCCCTGCCAGGATTGAAGGCCCGTCTTCTGACTCCAAGCTCAGCCTTCTCTCTAAAAACATCACGTTAGCTCCTGGGACCAACACTTATGTTTCATTCACTTGGCTCAGCTTGGCTCTAGAATCTGTTGCTAAGTGGCTAGCTGGCCCCTTCGTTGCAAACTGCCAACCTATAATTTTCTGCCATTCTTCAAAAATGTCTTGTTTTATGGAAAACGTAACTGCATATGAGTTGGAATGAGATGAAGTTTCGTGATGCAGTTGCACAAATTTTTATGTCTCCTAGCATAAAATCAGGAGCGATTATGGAAACATAGTTTGGTCACATGCTTGTATCTAGAATTTGTGCCAGTTGCTAAGCATCTAGGCATCTAGTAACTGTCTGAGACCCAGGCAGCCGTGCCCAGGTTCACTGGCTCTCAGTGCCACTTAGTAGGTGTCCACCCCGTGCCTGGTACTGTACTTGGCACGTTATTGCTACTCCTACGTTACCCGCCATGGTCACAATGACCATACAAAGTATGTTATTCCCAGTGTGTGGGTGGGGAAACTGAGTGGCCACATCTGGCTCAGAAAGTCTGATCCTGTTTTCTAAATTTCAGTGTATTCCAGATTCTTTTGTAACTGACCATGAACTTGACATTAATTGATTCAATCCAACTGCATTGAATCCTCGATGACTTCCACTGGTCCTATTTTTCTGGTTAAAAAACACCCTATATGTCTTCATTACGCAAGCACTTCTGCCAACATTGGTACACCACTTAAAAACAATATGTCTGGGGTTGAAATAAAACCGTTTACAACTTGACCCTGTATTTGGACGTTTTCTCAGGAGTTGAAAGAGGATAGAAACGGCTGACCTCGTGTTCGCGTCGCTCAAATCTCTGCTGCCTCTGTTTCAAGAGGAGTTTCAAAGTGGGAATATGTGCTCAGAGTGTCAAACAGGTTAAAGAAAATGAATCGTGTTCTCGGGGGGGCTGTTCCCCTTGTTCTGGGTTCCGGCACATGCTGATTCTTCTGTTTGACTTGCAGGTTGTCCAGTATGAGATCGGGATTATTTTCTGGGCCGTCCTGGGACTGCTCTTTGTCATCCTCATGCCGCTGGCAGGGCTCTGCTTCGGTCTGTGCCGCTGCTTCAACAGATGCGGCGGAGAAATGCACCAGCGACAGATGAGGGACGGGCCCTTCCGGAGGAAATACTACGCCCTCACCCTCCTGGTCCTCTGTGTGCTTATGAGGCAAGTAGAATCTCTGGCCGCAGCTGCCTGGGTTTTGGGTGGAGGAGGACTGTCTCGTGTTTTACCTGTTAAGCCCGTGAGTTAGTTTAAAATGAAACGACAACAACAAAACCCTCCAAAAACAGAAGAGAGAGAACAAAAATGTTTGTCCAGGATGGCTCAGAAAGATGTCACTGTGACCAGCAGCTAGCCTTGTCATCAAGCTGCCCTAACCTACGTGCTCAGCCAGCCCTTCCATGTTTCTTCACTTTGAAGACATTCTAGTGAACCTTAGACTGCAGGAAGCATTTACCTCCTAGAAAGATGGCTCCCCCTCACACACCCTGTTCTCTTAAAACAACATTTTTATTGATTTCAGAGAGGAAGAGTGGAGGAGAGAGAGAGAGAGAAACATCAATGATGAGAGAGAATCATGGGTTGGCTGCCTCCTGCCCTGCACGCTTCCTACTGGGAATTGAGCCCATAAACCAGGCACGTGCCCTGACTGGGAATCGAACTGTGACCTCCTGGTTCTTAGGTCCATGCTCAACCACTGAGCCATCTCCCTTCTCTTAAATAGCTATTGGGGACGGGCAGCCTGCAGGACGGCAGAGCAAGTATTTGCTAGTTGATTTGTATGTCCAAGGAGATCTTAAAGGATGGGCACGGTGCCTGAGTTTTGCAATTGGAGAATATTGGAGAATGGAATGAACTTTCTAACACTATAGTTTCTTGAATTTGCAATTAAGCCTCTCCCCTCTCTTGAAGTCTGGAGCACACGTCCCAATTTAGGATGTTTTTTCTGTGGCTTGTACTGCTGAAAGTTTTCAAACTGACTAGCAGATCTGAAGTATCCTGCTTTTATTTTAGGATGGTGACATTTTGTTAAGAGTTTAAATCAGATTCCTCAACTGAGGAATGTGCTCTATGACACTGGCCCCTGCCTTCCCTGGTTGTGATATTCTTCATCTTTCCACATTTCCTCATTCATTCGACCAGACTGCCAGCCACAGAAATGAAGTACAATCAAACATCTCGAACAATTCGGTTCTCGACCAAGTTGTTCACAGAAAAAATGTCTTGGTTGTCAACCAAAACCTCAGCTTTCAACCTGACAACCCCTTCATGTTTGTTTAAAAACAAAGGAGAGAATGCTTTTTTTTTGCTAATCCATGATTAGCACAATTTTAAAACATAAAGAGGCCATCAAGAGTGCTAATGTTGCTAAGGGTATGAAAGTGCTCACAAAACAATAATTCCAGGCAATTGAATAGGTAGAAAAACTGTTGTTGATTGAATAAAAGAACAGCCGTTAGCAGGTGATAGTGTGATAGTATTTTGGAGACAGTGATATATGAAAAATTCAGTTAAGGCTAGTAGGGGGTGGTTCAATCAATTTCAGAAAAGAAGTATATATTTATAGCTTAAACAGTACATTAGTCATGTACTGTATATAAGAAAGGTTAAAACAGAGAGTCATTTGGGGGTCTGGAAAGGATTAATTCAATTTACATTATTTCTAATGGGGGGAAGAAATGATTCAGAGTTCAAACAAATTGCTTCTTGAACAGCCTTCTGGGACGAATTAAGTTTGAGAAACGAGATTCCAAGGAGCCCCAATTACTTGAGGCTATGTGACATTTTTAAAACTTTTATCTCACAGCACACATTGAATTTATATATGAATTATAAATAGAAAAGTAGTATTTGAGATAGGTTTGTTTAATAAAGTACAGACTGGAAGTGTAAACTTCTTTACCTTGAATGATTAAATCTAGAAAAAGCTATTTTGATGTCTTCCGTTTGAAAACCCCTATTCGTTTGCAAGTCTCTTCAACACCATGAGTTGAATAATAGCTATGTGTTAACCATAAGTAATCAAAGTTATCCCAGAAGTGCGGAGACCAGGGGAACACACAGCTTTCTGCATTGTGATTAGGTAGGAAGGGAGGAAAGTATGTTCCAACAGCAGAAGATGAGATAAGAGGGAAGGCAGGTAAACAAAAGCAGGAGGCAGAAAAGGACAGAGAAGCAGCTGTTAGCCGCAGGCCTACATGGCCTCAGAGAGACGGGTATTGCTGATAATTGATCTTTATATGTGATTTTTTTAAAAATTCAGAAACCACTTGCCTTTTATGAAGTTCAATTCTATTTGTGTCTCTATAGGAAGTGTCACAATTAAAAATGGAGTTGGTGTGTAAATTAGTCTTGAGTGCTCTAATTTTTCATCCACCCTTTTTTTTTTTTATTAAAAAAAATTCGGTATTTTTTTCTTTTTTAATTGAGAAAGGGATAGGTGTCAAGGAGAAGGCACCCCTAGTAATATGGACTATATGTGGTGAGCTTCTCCCTGTGTGTGGGTTTTCACCAAGGCAGCTGTGCATCTACAATTCCACACACACTGACATGTGTTTACGTCAGTCTGTGTGACCACCAGCCAGAGATGGAATTTCCACCTCTCACTGCAAACTGTTGAAGCAGATGTGCCTCGCGGCGGACAAAGCCAAGTTTCCCCTTCTTTCTTTCCCTTGTACTTGTCGCCACTGCATTTTTCCGAATTTCAAGAAAGGTTATAGACAACCAAAAGGAGCACCGAGGCCTGTATTTCTCCAGCACATGTCTAGGTTTCTGAGTGTGATAAGTCAGCTCTTGCCAATTACCCTGGTGAAAATGGAATCCCAGTCACTTTTCAGGAAGATGGCCATTTTCCAAAGTTCATTTTTCATATTTACTTTTAAGTGTATATGTGACAAAATCGGTCTGTCCATTACAAAATACAGAAGATATAATGCTAATTTGCCATAAAAGTAATATGTTTATCTTCTGTTAAACATTTCAAGAGATTTTATTGTACTGCATAAAAAGTACATGTTTTGATAGCTTTTGTGTTTAGATAGAAGTTTCAAATTAGAGATTACAAATGGAAACCAGTTGTTTTTCCTGGTATTTAAAGTTTCTTGTTTCTTTGAATAGTTGCTAATATTTAAAATGGGAGATTTTTACATAAGAATGCAGATTTCCAGATTTGGGGGAAGATCTGGCAGTACTGGTCTGCCATCTTGGGGGCACTTGCTAGGGCCACAGAGCATCTGCCCCACCCCCACCTTCCACCTTTAGCTCCCATAGGTCTCTGCCACACTCCTTGCCTTCCTGCTTCCTGCCTGCCCAGGTAGGCATCTGAATTTTCCATGCTTAATTTACAAATAAAATTTACAATGTGGCATGGGTCTAAAAATCAGCTTTGACAGTTGCTGAATTCTATTCCAGAATTCTGTTTAGTACAGTTTTTAAAAAATGACCAATGCTTTCATTTTAATTGGACCCATAATTGATCAGCAGAAATGTGGGTCTTTTGAAATACTGCATGCTGCATTAAAATTCAGTGTCATATTGCAACTCATTTTACTGATTGATGATCTTGTAAGTAAAGGCGTTTATTCAATAAAGGATCAAAGACAGTTTCTGACTTGGACACTCCAGACCTATGGCTAATCTTCTAAATGGACCAAATGAAACAAAGTCTCTAAAAGCACCTTCACAGAGAACCCACCACAGGTCAGAGGCCCCCGGGTTATGCAAAATTGACAAAGAAGCAGTTTTCATCTCTTTTTAGAGAAATTAAGCACAGGTAAAAAGAAAGACAAAATAGAGTATGAAGTGAGAAACAGACCATCAGAATTTCAGGAGAGCCCTCTGGGAGTTCCAGGTTCCATGGGGGTGGGGAGCCAGTGAAAGCCAAGAGGACTTGGACTTGCTGCTGTTTCTCAAGTCCACTTTGACTTCCTCTATGGCACGATGGGTCTGGAGCATGATGAATGACAAATAATTCGGACATGCTGGGGAGAGACAGCAAGGGCCCCAGTCGGAAACCATGTCGTGGGCAGGTGTATGTAGGTGACGACCCTGACTTGTCATGGATGCTTGGAATTTGGCACGATAAATAAAGCTCCAAATACATTGTTATGACTCAACTTGTTTTCCCCTTCTGACCACGCTGCTCCAAAGTCATTATTTTGGGTCATTTGACTATTTGACATGAGTGCACCACTTAACTATTATTGCTATGGTATGAAGTAGGCCTCATAAATACCAATGCAGACTTGAGATTGACAGCAATGGATTATAAGGTGGTCATTCCAAATGGCACCAAAGATAGATAGATAGATAGATAGATAGATAGATAGATAGATAGATGGATTACCATCAGCACAAACCCACACTTAAAAATAAAATTCATAGACATCCAGTACCCCTCTCCCCATGGCTTGACAAGTACTTCTCTAGTTTTCAATTTTGTGATACCAACTGAAGCTCACAGAAGGAGAGTGGCTTTCTCTAGCTCACACAGTACGAGTTACGGGTAATAATAGTGGCAAAATCTTGTGTTTCTACTCTAGTGCACATTCCACTGGGACTCGGTAAACCTGAGAAATATTGTTGAATATTGTGCATTACAGACTTTTTTTTTTGGAATAGTTTGGGAAACTAACTAATGTGATACTGCTATGGGGAAATGTTTTAAGTGAGACCGATGATGAACGGATGCTCCTTGGAATGAATGATGACTATAAACTGGGTGAATGACTGTCTCCATGTTCCCAAGACTGAGAGGTCCCTGGGGACACGGAACTTTCAATGCAAACACAGTCACCTGGCCTCCCTACCTGTGAATATATGAATGCATAAAGCCGGAGACTTTGCTTTTGGTGCAGACTCAGGGTATTGATATTCTGCATCAGGATTTTCTCCCCAAAGTTTGTCCATTATTTGCAAAACTTTGTTCTATCAAGACTTTGTTCTATTCTTACCTTCTATTTTGAATGGTTACAAACTTAACAGTTTTTTTTAAAAAACTATATTTTATTGATACAGAGAGGAAGGGAGAGGGATAGAGAGTTAGAAACATCGATGAGGGAGAAACATCGATCAGCTGCCTCCTGCACACTCCCCACTGGGGATGTGCCTGCAACCAAGGTACATGCCCTTGACCGGAATCGAACCTGGGACCCTTGAGTCCGCATGCCGATGCTCTATCCACTGAGCCAAACTGGTTAGGGCAAACTTAACAGTTTTGTTACTGACTTCTGTAGGTAAATTGGTCTGTTGTTATATTATAAAACCCCAGCAACTGACCAGCAGAATGACCAGAATGACCAGAACAACTGCTGCCCCTAGCTCTGGCCATCCCCGCCTCCGATAGGTCCTCATCACGGAGGGCCGGCTGAACCCCACCAGTACACAAATTTATGTACCAGGCCTCTAGTGTTCATATAATTCTTTACTGCCACCTAGTGGCTACGTTTAGCAAAGCCTTGGTAATTAGCCATTTTTAAATGTGACATTTTCATATTCTAACTAAGGCTTTGCCATAAAAACAAACTGATTGGTCAAGTTAATTTAAGTCAGGAGATTGTTAGTAACTAGTCAACATTAAAAGCCCCCAGAATGATTAAATGTAGACCTTTTTTGGCTTGAAAAATGTGTTGTATTTTCAGGTAGAGGAGCCTTTCAGATACTGTTTTTGAAATTCTTTATTGAAGTATGTTTTCCACCATGAAAAGAATCCCTGGCATAAATACATATTCATGAGTTTCTATGAAGTGGACACATCAATTACATCATTATCTACCTCTCCCCAAATATAACCACGACTTTAAGCAGCATCACCCTGTATGGTTCTGTGCTTTACGTAAAATGGGATGGTACAGCATGTACATTATTGTTCACAGCTTTCATATAGCATTTTACGGCTAAAGTGACTCATGTTTCTTTTCAACCCAGACAATACAACAACTAACAGAGATAATTAGAGAAACCACACTGATAGAAAGCCCAAAGCAGTCTTATCATTTTGGTATTTTGCTTGATAGTCTTCTTTGGGGGAGCAGAGGTGTGTGTGTGTGAGAGTGTGTGAGTGTGTGAGTGTGTGTGTGTGTGTGTGTGTGTGTGTGTATGCGCGCTGCACCGGAGGGTGCGTACCTGCAATCACATCTGTATGGAATGTGACTATTGCACAAGCTACTGCCTTGTACCCTTTGTCAGTTACTGTTTCCCTCACAGTGTATCATGAACATTGTCCCATTTATTCGATTCACTATTTACCAGAACAGTGCATTTTACGTGGCTCTGTGTCTTCCCTGAGCAGACGGGGTCCTGCTCTGCGGCCCACGTGGTGGTGGTGGTGGTGGTGGGTGCATCATGGGATCATGGCGGGAGGCTGCAGCAGTGGAGGGGGGGGGGTTGGGTGGGGAGCAGGGTCCTGTCCCTCTGGGGCCCTGCTCAGGGCCCTGCCCCTCCTCGTCAGCGTGCTGCCTGCACCTGGCCATCCGCCGAGGGCGGGCACCCGGGAAACGCTCTTCCTTCTCCCGTGCTTTCCCCGCAGCATTGGTATCATCTATGGTTTCATGGCAAACCACTACCTCAGGACTCACATCAGAAAGGCCCGGACACTGGCCGAAAGCAATTTCAGAGACCTGAGGACTCTCCAGAATGTGACTGTACCGGTAAGAGCCGTCTGTGTATCCCGCCGTGCGTAGCGTTTGGGGCCTTGCGGAGTTCCTGTGTCTATTTGAAATCTCATTCAGACCTTCTGGAAACCCACGCATCAATGCAGACAGGTTTTAATGTTGTAGATGAAGAAATAAACGCCCAGCACGTGATGTCTAAAACAGTTCAAAAGCATGACTTCAAAATGGATGTCATTTTATTTTATTAAGGTAACATAAAATATAGTACACATCATAGAAGTGCTTAACCATTCTAAGGGTCTCATGACTTTTTTTTTTTTATAGAAAAATATCTTTGGGTACCGTTATCCTTCACTTTTTGGCAGTGTAGTTAACTCTCCACTGTTTCGCATGAAGGTACCTTTGTCATGAAACCTCTGTTCTTTATAAACATCCACTTGCTAATATCTATGTAGATTGGGGAGTGGACCCCCATGTGCACCTGCACACACACACACACACACACACACACACACACACACGTTGTCTTTGGGGACTGGGATCATCATGCCCAAAGGCACCTTTTTTCTATGTCCCAGTAACACATGGTTGACTTGCCTATTCAGAACATAGATTTACAAAATGTCTGAGCAGACATTAGCCCTCAAATACGTGGCTGAGCTCCGGGTCCCAGCTGGAGAGAAGCGAGCGCACATTGGATTTGGTCATGGGAGCCTGCAGAACCCACTGTGTCCTCACACGGCAGGTGTTCCTCACCGCTAGTGCAGCCTGAAAAGTACTCACGTTAAATACTGTATCAGTTTTTAAATATGTGGTTGGACCTAAAAGGCATTTTTAAATATGGAGATTAGAGAAGCTAATTTTATCCATCACTTGACAGCATTACACAGAGGCAAGTGTTTCATTTCCCCAATCTGTGAACAAAAACTCATAACATTTTCACCTGTCACTCTAAAGACTACAAAGTGAACCCTTTCCCCCCCTAAAATGTTGGCAAAATTAAATACGTAGCAGTCGTGGCTGGTGCACGTTGGGGTTGCTTTCAGAAACTTGGGAGGGTAGTGGATTGTTATGACTTTTAGGGAAGTGTGTCTACTTCAAAAAACATGAAGAGCTTTAAAGAAGGCTTTAAAAAACAGAGCAGAAAATGTGTAGTCATTTTGCAGAGGAAACATGCGTGGCCCCGAACAGTGAGGTATTTACCCTTGCTCTAGCATCTGGAGGAATGAAAAGTTAAAAACTGACACATTTGCCCTAACGGGTTTGGCTCAGTGGTTAGAGTGTCGGCCTGCAGACTGAAGGGTCCCAGGTTCGATTGCCGTCAAGGGCATGTACCTTGGTTGCGGACACATCCCCAGTAGGGGGTGTGCAGGAGGCAGCTGATCAATGTTTCTCTCTCACTGATGTTTCTAACTCTCTATCCCTCTCTCTTCCTCTCTGTAAAAAATCAATAAAATATATTTTTTAAAAAACTGACATATTTTCACCGAGGAGGTTGGCAGCAGTTACTTAACACAGCAGCATAGGGTGAGGATGTGGGTGAGGGTGTGGGGGGAGACCGCCAGGACACCAAGATAGAGCAAGCAGCGCTCACAGGCAGCTCAGGACCAGCCCTGGATACAGGGGCCCTGGTGTGGCAGGTGCCCGGTGGCCCCAGATTCTCTCCCGTCCCTCCCTTCCAGAGGCGGGACTGTTCACACCCGTCGAACCCGGGCTGCCTCTGAGACTTGCTGTGACCAAAAGAACTCAGCAGACAGACAGACGTGACCTTGTGCTAGTGTCAGGCTTACGCTTCCCGCAGCCCCAAGCCTCCAGCCCTGTTCTCTCACTGCCCGGACCACAGTGAAAACGCCCAGGCTGAACGCTGGAGAAATGAGAGGCCACGTGGAGGGAGTAGCCCCTGTGTCCCAGCCACAGAACCACTGCCCAGCATCCCGAGAACTAAGGAGTCATGTTTCTTTCTTTCTTTCCCTCTTTCTTTCTTTCTTTCTTTCTTTCTTTCTTTCTTTCTTTCTTTCTTTCTTTCTTTCTTTCTTTCTTTCTTCCTTCCTTCCTTCCTTCCTTCCTTCCTTCCTTCCTTCCTTCCTTTCTCTCTCTCTCTCTCTCTCTCTCTCTCTCTCTCTCTCTCTCTCTCTTTCTTCCTTTTTAATTTAATATATTTTATTGATTTTTTTACAGAGAAGAAGGGAGAGGGATAGAGAGTTAGAAACATCGATGAGAGAGAAACATTGATCAGCTGCCTCCTGCACACCTCCTACTGGGGATGTGCCCGCAACCAAGGTACATGCCCTTGACCAGAATCGAACCTGGGACCCTTCAGTCCTTAGGCCGATGCTCTATCCACTGAGCCAAACCGGTCAGGGCGGAATCATGTTTCTTACGCTAACACGCGTTGGAGTGTCGTTAACAAGTCTGGGTGTCAGAAAATGTAAACATCTCCAAGAGCCTACTTTCTTTTTAAAAATGTTCTGGTTTGAGGTAATTTTTAAAAGTATTTTTGTTCATTTCAGAGAGGAAAGGAGAGGGAGAGAGAGATAGAAACATCCAGATGAGAGAGAATCATTGATTGGCTGCCTCCTGCATGCCCCACACTGGGGATGGAGCCCGAAACCTGGGCATGTGCCCTAACCGGGAATTGAACCTGTGACCTCCTGGTTTATAGGTTGATGCTCAACCACTGAGCCATGCCGGCCAGATTCAGGATAATTTTTGTATGTTAGAGCTCTTTTTTTAATTGTGGTTTTGGACTTTAGATGAGAAAGTTTCATGTTATTTTATTTATTTTTACTGAATTTATTGGGGTGGCCTTGGTTCATAAAAGTATAGAGGTTTCAGGTGTACAATTCTATAACACATCATCTGTATTTTATTTATTTTATTTTAGCAAATTAACTACGTGCTAGACCAGTACACCACCACAAAGAAAAAGGCCGTCTCAGATCTGGACAGTAAGTGACATTTCCAGTTGCCTCGAGTTTTTCGTGTGGGCTTGTTTTGGCTGGAGGTTGCGACAGCCACCTCCCATAAAACACAGACGCAGGTGAACTATGCTGTTTCTACAACTTCTGTGCGAAAGGAGGGGAAAACGGAAAAGTCCTTCCCTAGAGTTAGTGCCAGTTTGCAGTGTGCTGCTCAGGATGGAAACCGAGCCTTTAGGGTGAGAAGGCTGTTATTTCATTATAGTCACAAGGGCCCATCCTCCATGCCCCAGGGGTGGGAGGAGTGGGTCTCTGTCAGGTTCCTTGTTGAAGATAGAAACAGGCCCCAGAGAAGCTGGGGGCTTGGGGGGGGAGGGGGAGCCCGCTCCTCCCTGCATGCCCACAGGCAGCTCCCACGCAAGGCTGCAGCGGTTCTCAGCCTGGGGCTGTGTGCTCCTGGCTACGTTTGGCAACATCCAGGGACATTTCTGGTTGTCCAACTGGGTGAGGGGGGTCGGCAGGGGTACTGGCCTCTGTTGGTAGAGACCAAGGATGCACTACGAATCCCACAATGCACAGAACAAACAGCTGGCAGCCTCCTCGGCAAAGAACTACGCAGCCCCTCATGGCAATGGTGCCAAGGTTGAGGGACCCTGGTTCTTGGCCGGAGGCTTCAGGCCTCAGGGCCATTCGGGGGCGGGGGACGACAAAAGGTGACTCTCCAGGCGCCACACCCTGCATGGCCGAGAGCAGGAGTGGGACATGGGCAGGAAGGACACGGGGCGCCCCTCACACTCCCTTATGCCTGTTTGCATTTAGATATTAAGACCTTGCTAGGAGGCGACATTCAGGAACACGTAAAACTTAAAACGTTCCCCGTTCTTGATGACGTCGAGGCCATGGCAGAAGGTGAGTGCTGTGACAGGCCGAAGTGACGGAGGGAATGTTCCCCCAAAGGCTCGGGCTTCCCAGGCTCCCTCTCCCTCTCCTGGGTTTCCCTCCGGTCACCCGGGGCGACCGCCACCACCTGTGCTGTTCCAAAAAACAGGGCATACTAGTGGCAGATTGGGCATAATAATAGTGTTTAATTTTTTCCTCCTTTTTTTTCTTTTAAATCTTTGTTGTTGAAAGTATTACGTATGTCCACCCCCCCCTTTTTTTTTCATTGACCTCTTCTCCATATAATGCTTTTTTAAAGCTTGTGTCATGGTCATCGTACTGATGGCCTACAGGCCACTTGAAACAATAGTGGCAGATGGACAGGGACAGGCGCCTGTTTCTGTTGGTGACGTTATTGGGATGCGGGTGAGCTCACTGGTTTGGGCAACATCAGTGGCTGCATTCTCTCCAGGATGGCGGAGGTGGTTACTGCAGGGGCCCGGCGCCCACGGAGCATGGAAGATTTACTGTCTAACCTTCCCAGAAAAGCTAGTTGGCCGCTGCTATTGAAGATGAGTAGCCCATGGAATTTTAGGTTTTGGGGTCTATTGATTACTCCTTTTTAAAAAAAAACAAACAGTTTTTATTGATTTTTAGAGCGAGAGGAAGGAAGAAAGATAGGGAGATAGAAACATCATCAATCTGCTGCCTCCCGCAGCCCCCACCCCCCTCCACCGGGAATCAAGCCCAAAACCCAGGCATGTGCCCCGACTGGGAATCGAACCATGAACTTCTGGTTCATAGGCCAATGTTTAACCACTGAGCTACACCAGACCGGCTTGATTACTCTCTTTCCTTTGCCCCCGAAAGAACAAGTTCTGTAAAGTGAAATTATACATAATATATTCAAAGTCACCACAGTTGACAGTGTAAGTGAACAGATATACTGATTTTAATAAACTGCAACTTACAAAACAACCTCCCAGACCCTTCCAGACGTTGAGAAACTGTCTGTGCTATGTGCCAGGTGCTCACAACTCTGTGGGTGGGTGCTGTCACCTGCCTTTTACCCGCTCAGTACAGTAAGGCCCAGAGACGGTTTATCTAGTTCAAGGTTAGGGTGCTGGGAAGAGGTGGAGCTGGGACTCAGACCCCAGTCTGGTTATAAAGCCTGCGTTGCCCGGACCAGCCCAGATGGTGTTTGGGTCCACTCGGAGTGTGAAGATGTAGGGTTGTTTCAAGCTGTCCCAGGCCAAACCTCACAGTGTCATGGGAGGAAGAGATAGGAATGTGGAGTCAAGAACTGGTGTGGCCATGGGAGGACACCAGGCGTCCCTGTGCCCCACGCCCTTTGTGAGTTGTGCATTTGGAATATTTATCTGTCAAGATCTCTTCCAGCTCCCAAACTCTGAATGGCTCCATCGGCGTGGTTCAGTGGTTGAGCATCAACCTATGAATCAGGAGGTCACAGTTTGATTCCTGGTAGAGTGACCATCAGCGATGATTCTCCAGGTGCCACACCCTGAGTGGCCGAGAGCAGGAGTGGGACAAGGGCAGGAAGGACACAGGATGGATACCCCTCCTTGATATATCTGAAATCAATAATATATATATATTTTATATATAATATATATAATATAATATATAATATATATAATATAATATATATATATTTTAAAGTGGATGAACAATGCCATGTGGTTGGCGGGGAACCTGACTTTTGCCCCATGGTTTGGCCAAGTTTTAATATTTGAATTGTAATTCTCTTTGGATCAAAGGCAATTAAAACACATTCATTTTCCTCTCCAGTGCCTCATGCATTGGTATTAAAGTATTAAAGTCCTATTATTGTGTAGCCGGGCCAAATAAGTGAACCTTTAGCCTCGGGTGTTGCCTGGGCTGTTTAAAATGTGCTTAATAAACTGCTTCAGCAATATTTTTTCTAAACATTCGCCACAGCCTTATGCGTTTAGTAGCCTCTGGAGAGAGCAGGAACAGGCAAAGTTATTTGAGCAAATCATTTTGAGCTGCCCATCGGGATCTGTAAAGGCAGTGTGCTGTGAGCTGGCAAAATGTTAATGAACTAAAGTGGAGAACCTGAAATCTCTTTCACTCACTTCAGATACATGATGTGGGTGATCTTGGCAGGCCTGGCATGACTCCCAGAGTTGTAACCCACTGGATGTTTTACAGACATAAAAATGCCTCGAAACCCTGGAAAAAAATATGTATATTTATGCCTCAGTCCTCAAAATGGTTCCTATAACCCAGAATGTCTATGGATGGTGCCCAACCGAACACGTGTTCTCTGGGCCACCAGTTTATGTTACCATCCATCACTTTTTGTTGTTGTCATTTGTTTCTTACCTTAAAATAACTCTTCTTGAAGTCAAAGTGCGCAGGTAAACCGTGAGGGTTAATTAACCACACAACGTGAAGACGAGGTGTATGTGTGTGTGTGTGTGTGTTGTGTGATGTGAATGTGTTTGGGTGTGCTTGTGTGCTTTCTGTTGTGTGTTTCTAGTGGCAGCCGTGTTCTTTGTTTCTTGTTTTGCTACGGTAGCTGTTTATTGAGCCTCTAATGTGAGCGGGTACCAGTTCCATCCTTTGCTGACAATTCTGGGAGGGAGGTGGAAGACACGAGACACCGAGGCCCAGAGATGAGAAACGGATAGTCTTAAATATTGTGATGACCTCAAATGTTGTTCCGCTACACCGGGAGCACCATTCAAGAGAGAAGATTGTGTGGAACAGACTTTAAGGTTTGCTGTGCAGATGAGGAGATGGGACCCAGGGTCATACAGTCCCACCCTGGAAGCCTCCCAGGTCTCATCAAAGCTGAGGTTCCAACATGGAGACATGGGCAATGCCATCTCCTAAGGGCAAACCTGCTAGGGCACAGCGTAGAACGACAGACTCTCCTAGGGACCAGGAGATGACCCAACCAGCTTCCTCCATTACAGACGAGGAAACAGAGACCCCAGAGGTGGGGGAGTTTGCCAGGGGTGCTGTTACATGGTAGGAGCAGAACTGGGATCAGATGAGACCTCAAACTACTTTTGATTCTACCACACGGAAGCTTTAAAGTGTGTGTGTGTGTGTGTGTGTGTATGTGTGTGTGTGTGTGTTTGTTGTTGTTGTTGTTATTTTAGCACTCACGCTCATGTGGTAGCCCAGGAAAGTTGGAAAAACACATTTTCAAGGGCATTCCCCCTTTCCTAGCAACCCCCGCATGCGGCTCCGCTATGTGTTTTGTGAGCCTGGAAGACCTACTCGCTCAGAAGAAGAGCATGCCCTCTATTTAAATTCCCCACCTTGTCCTGCTGGGGCCGTCAGTCACTGTGAAAAGAGTTGTAATCTGCTACTTCCCTGGTGATGAGTGCGGAGCTCTGCGCACCAGAGAAATCAGGGTTGCAAACAAGTATTAGGGATTTCCACGTCTAAGGATGTGTTCCAGGCTGCGGGGCCCCTAAAATAAGACAGACGGTCTCCCTGCCATCGAGGAGGTTCAGTCGGGTCCTTCTGATCCCCACATTTCCTGATGAGCGTGGTGGCGGTGTCAGCATTTGAGGAAACTGCCGGCAAAATGTTCAGGATTCATCTTCTAGTTACACGGCCTGTGCATAGGGAAGCTCGGGTCTGCACCCAGACCTGCCTGAATCCAAAACCATACTCTTCCCTGTTCCTCTGCACTTTCTTCCAGCTCTTTGACTAGCCACAGCGTAAGATGGGTGAAAACTGCTCAGGGGTGGAGATGCTAGCTGGTCTGGGCTGGCCTCTTTAAAAAAAAAAAAAATTTTATTGGTTTCAGAGATAGGAAGGGAGAGGGAAAGTTAGAAACATCAATGATGAGAGAGAATCATGGATCGGCTGCCTCCTGCACACCCCACACTGGGAATCGAGCCTGCAATCCAGGCATGTGCCCTGACCGGGAATCAAACCGTGACCTCCTGGTTCATAAGTCGATACTTAACCACTGAGCCACGTCGGCTGGGGCTGGGCTGGCCTCCTCAAGGCCTGGTGATTCTGGGGCAGCAACACCTTTTCCTGAGGTTGCCACGCCCTGTCCAGTGGTTACTGCCACATCCAGATGTCCCCATCGAGTTCCCCAAGCGGGAAGGCTGAGCTGGTCACAGGGGCTGGCGGAGGAGCCAGCAGTGGCAGGCTCCCGGGGGGTGGGAGGGGATGGGGGGGCATTCCCAGGAGCACTTAGGAGGTTTGTAGATGGGACGTACTGCCGCAGCAGCCTGTGGGTGCCTCTGCCCTGAAGTGAGCTATGTTCCCACAGAGATCAGAGACACCAAAGTACTCCTGGTGTCCGTGAACAAAAACTTATGGGAGTTAAAGAAATCACCCGAAGAGATCTACAGAGGCCTGCAGGATGTGAAAAGAGACCTGGAGCAGTCCCTCAAGGACCCCGTGTGCTCCGTACCCGCCCAGCGTGCCAGGTGCGACTCCATCAGAATGTCTCTGGACCAGCTGGACAACAACACCTACCTGGGCCAGGTGAGGGGGCGACCTCGTCGCATGCGAGGCAGGGTCTTTGGGCATCTGGGCAGGGCTCCACGTGGGTGCCTGCCCCCATGCACAGCGCCTGGGCTCTGTCCATATTCCTGGCACCTGATCACCACTGGAATGGCCGCAGTGAGGGAAGAAGTAGTAGGAAGCCCCCCCTTGAGCCCACAGCCAATAAGGAGGGAATATGCAAATTGACGTGACAAAGATGGCAACGGCCAGGCCGGGACATTGCTATGATGATGACACAGGCATTCCGCACCACCCCAGCCGCTCTGGGCCTCTGGGAAGTGTGGGAAGGCCGAAAGGCGACTCCGGGCCAGAGCGAAGGCGATGCCGGCAGCCAGGGGAAGGAAGGCCTATTCTTGCATGAATCTTCATGCATCGGGCCTCTAGGATATGCATAAAATGATAGGCATTTTGTTCTCTTCTCAGTTGTTTGCAGGAAAGTTGCAGGCATTATGCCCTTTTACCCTAAATATTTCCTGACCTTACATAGCAAGTAATACCATTATCAACGTGAGGACATATACCATTGACCTAATCCTATCATCTAACCTACAGTGTATATTCAGATTTTGCCAATTTTTCTCAAAATGCTTTTTTTTTCCATTTCAGTCTAAGGTCCACTCCAGGATCACATGTGGTCTTTGGTTTTCACATTTCTTTAGTTTCTTCAATCTGAGACAGTGTCTGAGTCTATCTTTTTCTTATGACATTGACATTTTAAAAAATATATATTTTTATTGATTTCAGAGAGGAAGGGAGAAGGAGAGAGAGAGATAGAAACATCAATGATCAGAGAGATTCACTGATCAGTTTCCTCCTGCACGCCCCCTACTGGGGATCAAGCCCACAACCCAGTCATGTGCCCTTGACTGGAAGTGAAGCTGGGATCCTTTAGTCCGCAGGCCGACGCTCTATCCACTGAGCCAAACCAGCTAGGACTACATTGACATTTTTTAAGACTACAGGCATTTATTATACAGAATGACCTTCAATTTATATTTGTCTGATGTTCCCTCATGATTAGATTTAAAGTATGCACATTTGTCAGGATATCACAAAAGTGATACTGTGTCTTCGGTATACCGTGTCGGGAGGTACAGGATATTTGTCTTGGTATTGGTAAGAGATAGGACACTTTAAATCTATGCATGATGTAAAATGAAAAATTTATTCCAGATCATGCACCAAGAGAACCACGGACTGTATTACTTTTAAATGTGTTTTTGAAAAGATTGTTTATTCAACTAGTAGCCCTGCGCATGAATCCGTGCACCAGTAGCTTGCCAGTAGCTCGCTGCTGCCTTCCAGTAGCTCCCCCCGACCCCTTCATAGCTTGCTGCCCTGTCCCCTCCTGTAGCTCTCCACTGCCCACTTGTGTCTCGCTGCCCCACCCTCCTGCTGATCCGTGAGTCGGTCATTCCACGGTCGGTCGTTACACTTCACGGCGTAATGACCATTTGCGTATTACATCTTTATTATATAGGATATTCAGTACCTAAAATCTGAGGTCACACCTATTCAGTCTATGTTCAATTTCTCTCCCTCCTGAGGCAGGAGACCTCCCCCATCTAAAATTAGTGCTTGATACAGGCCATTCTGTGCTAAATGTGTTTTCCCCACACAATACTCTGTTGTTCCCAAAAATATAGATCATACCCTATGGAACTTGGATATAAGATGACAAGTGATTTGGGGGTAACCACCTTGCCTTATGTTTTGCCTTACACATTTCAGCTCAGATTGTTGGATAACGAAATTAATAACGTCAATGGTGTTCTTCAGACAAATCTATCCAGCCTGGTCCAAATGGTATGTTATCTGGGAAACATACAGTAGCTTATTTTAACGAGCAGACTAATGCGTACGAAAACAGGTAACAGAAGAAAAGTAGTGAGATTTAGTTGGGATGTTGTTTTATGTCATCGATGCTGCTAGGCTGCAGTAGCCCCTGGGGTACCGTAAACCTCACCAAGTTTACATCTTGGATTGCACTGCCATAAAACAGCATCATAGGCCGGGCGGCTGTTCGAGGCAGACATTTATTTCTCCCAGTTCTGGTGGCGGGACTTCTGCCATCAGAACACCGGCATGTCCGGGATCCGGTGAGAGACCCGTCCAGGTGGCAGGCGGTCATTTCTCACTGGGTCCTTGTCATCCGGTCCTTTTCCTCACCTGGCAGAGAGCTCCCTGGGGCTCCTGTATAAGGGCCCCAACCCGATTCAAGGGGATCCACTCTCCTGACTTCATCACCCCCAGAGGCCCACCTCCTAATACCATCACTCTGGGGGAGGGATTTCAACATTTGCATTTTAGGGGGGACACAGACCTTGCGTTCAGAACAGGTTACAGTCGCTGCAGTGCTCCCAGGCAGGGGGCGACACGCGCCAGCTGACACACAGAAACACAAGTTAAGGCCCTTCCAGGGAAGAGGCTGGATAGTTCCTTGAGTGACTTGGGGAAAGAAGGACATTTTCCTGCCCCGGATTTAGCCTCCAAGCAACCTGGCTGGGCAAGGCTGTCTTCGTTTTTGTTTTGGCCTCACTACAATGTGTATTCTCCAGAAGCTGGGCTTTAAGGACATTGTTTTCTGTGAGCCTAGACCCCCAATTTCACGTTGTGATTGCATTGGAAAAGAAGAGGCTATTTTAGAAATTCGCAGAAATGGGTTATCTGTGAATCTGCATCTGCACACGGTGCGTTGTATGGATCCGGGTTTCCTAACCTCAGCATACGGATGTGTGGGGCTGGGAAATTCCTTGCAGTGGGGGCTGTTCCTATGCATTGCAAGGTATTTCTGAGCACCCTCACCCCGCCCTGCACAATGCCAGCAGCTCCTCTCAGCTGTGACCACCAAAATGTCTCTACACATTGCCACATGTCTCCTGGGGGGACAGCATTGTCCCCATTTGAGAGACACTGGTATGGTGTAGATACATGTAAACTTAACATGAGTTAAAAGTGGAAAGTTAAAAACTTTTAGCATAATCTTCGATGGGTACAGCTGAAAGCAAGTCCCCTCTACGGTGAATCTTATGAGACTTTTAATGGCCACATAATGATAATTTCCACCTTAAGGTAAATGTTACATTTGTATTTTGCTTTTCTGCTCTGTGCTAAATGAGTACCGGTTCCTGGTGTTCTACTTGCTATGCATATCAATTTATTTTGAACTGTTTTTTAGAGCTATCAATCCATTAATAATATACCCGAGAGAGTGCAAAAACAAACCACGGAAATACCACCAGGTGAGTCACAGACTGAAATAATTTTGTATCTCTCCTCATTAAGCATTGGTGGTTAGCACAAAGAAATCTACTAAGAATTCCATTGTTCTCTTTCCCTCTTAAAAAATGTTCTCTCACCCTAACCGGTTTGGCTCAGTGGATAGAGCATCAGCCTGCGGACTCAAGGGTCCCAGGTTCGATTCCAGTCAAGGGCATGTACCTTGGTTGTGGGCACATCCCCAGTAGGGGGTGTGCAAAAGGCAGCTGATCAATGTTTCTCTCTCATCGATGTTTCTAACTCTCTATCCCTCTCCCTTCCTCTCTGTAAAAAAATAAATGAAATATATTTTGAAAAAAATGTTCTCTCACTAAGACCTAGAAAACTAAAGGAATATCAGAGTTTTTTGATGGTACCAAATTCCCAATTGACATTGATTTAAAAAATAATAATCCTCGTATGAGCACTAATTGACATTGCCCCCTGCTGGCGGGAAGCTGCCTGGCTGAGAGCCACACTGCAGTGATGAGCCCTCAGGGTGAGCTATCAGAGCAACCAGAAGCCAAAGCTTGGAGTCACATTCTGATTGTTATCACTGGGGCAAAAGCTGTAGATTATTATATTTCCTAAAAGAACTTAAAATTGATATTTTTAAAAAGAATACTATGTATAAGGATTTATTTTGTCTTTGAAGATGTTTATTTGTCTTCTGATGCTGACGTAGTGGTATTTAGATTCTGAAGGTCGCTCACAGTTTGGAGAGACAGACTGAGGTTGAGTGAATTCTACTGGTTGCGAATGATTGAATCACGTTATATTGAGGTTAGGGTAGGCATAAACCTGGGTTGTCTGCTAAGAGGAGACATCTCTGAAGCTGTGTAAGACTATCTTCTCTTTTATTTTTATTTTTAAATATATTTTTATTGATTTTAGAGAGAGGAAGGGAGAGGAATAGAGAGATAGAAACATCAGTGATGAGAGAGAATCATTGATCAGCTGCCTCCTGCCGCCCCCTATTGGGGATCGAGCCCACAGCAGCCTGGGCATGAGCCCTGACCAGGAATCTAACCTTGACCTCCTGGCTCAAGGGTCATTGCTCAACCACTGAGCCACACTGGGCAGGCCAACTATCTTCTCTTTTAAACAAATCATTTTCTCAGTGCTTCTTTTTATCTGTTGACCAAGTAGTTTGAAATATTGTGTTAGAGGTACTTGATTTTTTTTTTCTAATACTATTCTTTCAACCCATTAAGACTTGTGGTTTAAAAAATTTTTTCCCCCCACTATATAGTGCTTTAGATGCCCTGTGGGTTTTCTTTTTTTTGTTCAGTCTAATATTTCACCTAAAAATACTCCGATGTTAAAGACAAAGTCACGCTTTGCTATGCCAGCATCCTAAGGCTGACCAATGCCGTACCTCTGATAGCCACGTACTTACTGATCTCTGTTTGCTTTCTCTGCCTCCCCTTCCTAGACCTCTCCTGCCAATCCGTGCAGCTTCCCCTGTAAGTCTGGCAAAGCGCGGTGTGTGGAGTGCGTGAGCGAGGCCCATTGCACGCACCATCGTCGCCTAAACACAAGCCAGAATTTTCCCAGGTCCAGGCGAGCGCCACTTCGTCAGCTGGAGTATTCACTGCTCATCCAAAACAAATAGAAACCCTCAGCTCCCCTGGTTTGACCATTTGGTCCTGTCCTGCGCACACCGTTTAAGCGCCTACTGTGTGCCAGGTTTCTGCTGGGCCCTGAGATGGGAAGTGACTAAGGCCTGGCCACTGCTGCCCCTTCGGCTGGGCATGTGTACAGGTGCTGTTCATCACACTCTGGTGACATGTTGAGGTCCGTGGGGTGGGGCGAGGCTGATTGGAGGCTTCCTGGAGGAAGCGACTTCTGAGGCCTGAAGGAGGTATTTGCTAAGAGAGGGCACCGGAGCTCGCCAGGCTGGGGAGCTGTGAGAGTGACAGGGCAGGACAGCTTGGGAGGCAGGCAGGGGCCCACTTCTTAGTTTAGGGAACCATCCATAGGAGAGGGGGAGTCCATAGATCTCATCTGTCAGACTCCCAGAAATCCCAGAGGTAAAAAGAGGCCCATGGAGTCACCTCGCCGAGGATCCTGGGGCTTTTCGCACGCAAGCTGTTTGCAGGAGGCATTGAGCCACATGCAGTGATATTGTGAGCAACACACTTTGAAAAAGGTTCCCACCACTTTTACCATGCTCCCATCTACCCAGAATTCACCAGGAGACCCAGATGGCCTCGAGAGAACTGTGCACCTTGTCTTGGCTGCTGCGGAGATCGCAGGATCAGGATTTTAAGTGCCTTGTCTGTCCTCAGTACACCTTGTGAGAATGCCAGGCCAGGGGACACCCTGCACCCCCCGTGGCCTTTATTCTCGACCGGTCATTACCGACACTTTCCAGAAAGCTAGATCTTAACCTCCTCTCTGAAAGATTAGGGTGGAGATGAACGAGGACTGTTTGACCACTGGGGATATTCTTGCTTTTTGCATGTAGCAAACACAGATGTGCTTTGACAAGGCTCAGTTTGCATGAGCCACACAAAAATTTAACACAAATACCACCTGGAGTCCCTTGTTCACAACCTCAGCCCCAGAGAATTGGTGTGTTTCTGATGCCGACACATAGTGGAAGGAATTGTTAGGTTATGAAGTTGTTTTCCGGAAGTCACTTAACAGAAGCTGTAGAGTTAGATAAGCTCCATTTCCAGTGCTTTCTGAAAAAGACATATGGGCAAGTATTTAACATCTATGAGCCCCAGGGTCACTGGTATTAAATGGGAATAAGCATACCTATCTCAATAAATGAGTTAATATTGATAAAAGTGCCTGGCCTGGGGTAGGTACGCAGTACATTTTAATTATCTGACCCTTAAAAAAAAATAAGTTAAACAATAAATAAATAAATAAAATGGGTAAAATAAAATAAGTAGGAAGAAAACTCTGGCTTGATTTCAGCACCATATCCTCAAAGTCCATGCCCCTAGCCTGCTGTTTTGTTAAGTAATTGCTTTTTGATGGTCTTGGCTACATTCCCGCTTGGTGCAGAACTTTTCATACTTCAAGTGCATACATAACATGGGAAAAAGTGAAAGTGGTTCAAGTTTTTTCCATTTTGGTGCCCAAACAAAGCTTCTGTTTCCTCTAGGAATGCATGACTGAGGTGTTTTTGTTTCCAGCTGTCAAAAGGACCTTGAATTACATTGGTTTAAATATCAAAATGATAGCACAAAAGGTTCCCATTCAGGAAAAGCTGTCAGTTTTCTTGGATTCCATCGATAACTTTGAAAGTAACATCTACCGGGAATTGCCTAGGGTGGAAAAATATGAGTCATACAGGTGAGTGCCTCCTTTAAGCTGGTAAACTAGGAGTGTGAAGCTTGCTATGCGGTAAATTTGACTTTATAACCAAGATAATCTTAGGAGAGCAAGTTGTACAAAGAGACCATAACCCAATGTATTCACCCTAGTTGATGCTCACTCGAAAAGTTGAATTGTTCACTTCATTGGGGCATACACTACAATGGAAATTATATGATATTTCAAGGACCCCCTTTGTCCCATACATAGTTATTACAATATTATTGACTATATTCCCTATCTGTAATTTATATCTCTGTGACTATTCTGTGGCTACCAATTTGTACTTCTTAATCCCTTCATTGGGGGGGCCACTCAGTAAAGTATATGATTGTCTAACCACTATGTTATACATCTGAAACTGATACAGAATGATATTGAATGTAAACTATAATTGAAAAAAATCACAGCCTTGCTCAGGTTTGCTCAGTGATTAGAGAGTCAGCCCTCAGACTGAAGGATCTTGGGTTTGATTCCCGGTCAAGGGCATATACCTTGGTTGCAGGCTCGATCCCTGGCCCTGATCAGGGAGTATGCAGGAGGCAACCAATCGATGTGTCTCTCTCACATCGATGTTTTTCTCTCTCTCTCTCCCCTTCCTCCCTCCCTTCTACTGTCTCTTAAAAAAAAAAATCAATGGAAAAGTATCCTTGGGTGAGGATTTTAAAAAAAAGAAAAAAATCACAGATCATAAAACCTTATAAGTAAATTTATTATGGAAATAAAAAATAAAATACAATTGAAACTACATGAAGAACATGAGCATAGTTTCTGCAGAGCTGACCTTCAAATTCAGGATGCATTCCATATTTTATTTAACTTGAAGACTTGAAGTTCTTGAGCCAAATTTTTAATAAGTTGCACTTTTGATGTCATTAGTGACTTCTAGAATCGTAGTGATAATTATCTGAGGCATGTACCAGGATTTTAAAACTTTAATTAAGGACAAGGGCAGTTGGGTAATATTCTTTCCATCGTTGGTTTATAAAATAAATATGGAGAGGTCAGTGCTTGCAGAAAGTGCATCCCTAAACCCAGTCAGTTCTTCCAAGAGCTCAGGTAAGCAGCCATTTGCCCATTAGAAAGTGCTACTGACGGGGTTTGGCCCTGGCAGGTGCAGGCAGAATATCAGACCAAGGGCCGGGGAGGGAAGGACTTGGCGACTTGAGGGATTCAGAGGATCAGGTGAGCCGTTGAGAAGCACTTTCCCCTCTGAAAGGCTCAGCCCCATGACCCACCCTTGGAAGTGTTCTCACTGCCCAAACCCAAGGACACTCCAGAGACATTCATTCCTATTTGGGTTATTTGTTATGCAAGAGCATAAGATAAACCATAACAATAATCACTAGCCATTAGGGAACGGTTACAGCAGGCCCACCAGCACCGCACGCATGACTTGCTGTATAATATGCACAAACGTCCCCTGGGTTGTGTTCTATTTATAGCCTCGCTTTGTAGAAAACGGAGGCTCAGGGGAATGAAGTGACTCACTTAAGGCAGCAACAACATTGTCGGAGGTGCATTTTCAACCCCATCTGACTGTCTCTTCATTATTGCCCTGTGATCCAGAGACGGTTTTCCTACCGTGGGGCGAGGCCACCCCAGTGGGTATCAGGGCAAATGTAAGACAGACCCTTTCTCAGTGAACTTACAGTCTCGTTAAAGTTTCACAAATGGAAAGAAGGGTACAGTTATCTGTCCACCTGTCAGCTCCCCCTGCCCAGAGACCATCAGGTCATTTTTAAAAGAAATTTAACTAAGCCAATGAGGCATGCATTAACAGTAAAGGCTTTCTGAGGCCACATTCCATGGCTTATTGAATTATGTGTCCCTAGGATCTGGAACAAATGCCATAGAAGGAATGCAGGTGGCTATTATTATAATTATCAAGATTGCTTTTAATTGGATGAAAGGCTTTTGTCTCACAAGTAAATTCTTTTTTTAGTGTTTTAAAGGTTGGGAAACATTTTTAGCCTCAGCTGCCGGAAAAGCTTCGTGTACACTCTAGGACTGCCAGGAAGACCTAATTGAGGATCCATTATCCTCAAATGTCACACAGGACCATTACAAAATTGGTATTTGCCTTCTGTAGGCATTTGATTTAGGATGCTCGTAAAATTCTAAAATGCACTTACTGTGAGGAGAATTTCTGGTTCTGTGGAGGAGACAATGCCCATCAAACATCTGTACAGTCACAAAATATTTTAGAGAAATACCTGGGAAAAGAGCTCAATATTTCTTTGTCTGTTGACTATAATCTTGATCTGTTTACACCTCCTCATTATTCTAATAAGTACATCCAGGGTTAGGAACCCTGAAAGAATGTAAAAGTCTTAAGGCTCATTGTTACTTGTAGCCCTGGAGAAGTTGAGCAAACCCTGCTTATGAGCTCCACAGAAGTGAAGCAAAGGAAGAAAATAATCCTATGACCATGGAGCGAGAACACTTCAAAACCAAGATAAAAATTAATGTTTCTTATTGGTTGGGTTGGAAGACTAGCGGTGGGAAGGCATCATTTCACATCACCTTCTGAGGAATTAACAAGGGCTTCTAATATTTCATTGCCAAGTATTATACTCAATTATTTCTGCCCCGTATGGCAGCTTTTGTGTTATGAGGATGTCACCTCTTTCATGTGTAATAGCACTGTGCTTGTTTCACCAGGTGGCTGAGTTGCTTGATTATCTGCTGTTTTCTGACTCTCATCATGATTTTTTATTACCTGGGCTTGTTGTGTGGCGTGTTTGGCTATAAACGGAATGCCACCCCAACCACACGAGGCTGCGTCTCAAACACCGGAGGCACCTTCCTCATGGTGTGAGTGTTTGCTCTTCCTTGCCAGTGGAGGGGTGGAAACTCGGAGGAGAGTAGGTGACATGGTGGTCCTCTGGGCTGAGCACTGCGTTCCATCGGTGTGTTGGTTGATTATACTTTTATCAATTTGGGAAATTTCATCAAGAGTAAAAAAGTCAAAGAAAATTCTAAATTAGTTGCACTTTGATAGATAAGCTTAAACATGCTGTTTATGGTGGGCTCCTTTTTAAAGCAGCTATTATGAAAATTATGTCCAAGTTTGCTTTCTTTATTCCCATTGTTTTTTTCTATATTCATATCCATTCATCCAACCATCTATTTAGCCATGCATCCATCCATTTATCCATCCATCCATTCATCAATCCATCCATCCATCCATCCATCCATCATCCGTATATTCACCAGATACTTGGTAAAGATTGACCTGTTATCAGATACTGATCTATATGGTCATCTAGCTTCTTCCCTTTGAAACTCCAGAAACTTCATGCTCTGCCAAGAGTATTCTTCTTCAGAGAGAAGTTGCATTGTGTTTCTCTTGAACGTAAAGCCCCTCCCTTCCCTGGCACTACATCCCTACCTGCCTCTCAAGCTGCCATTCACCACACTCTGTGCTCTGGATGCAGAGCCATGTTGGCCCCCTTCAGACTCCCAAGGGCACATTTCCTGCTTTGGAACCTCCCCACTCACAGTGTCCTCTGCAGAAAGTCTTGGTTCACTCAAGTAACTCAGATCCCATGTCTGAACCATGGTACTGGCTCCAAGTGGACCAGGAATAAGCCTTAAGGGTTCCCTAAGTACATATTGTGCCCAGGACTGAAAGACCTCTGTGCTGACCACTTTCTGTCTTCACTCCTGGGTAAGCTGACTCATTTGACCTGTAAACAGCTGAAGATGCAGGTTCCTCTTCTGCATTGAGTATAGAGTCAGTAATTACTGATGGGTAATATTGAATAATGAATAATTCCTTATAGAATTCTTAACTTTATTTCTTTTCTTTCTTTTTTTTTTTGCAGTGGGGTTGGAGTTAGTTTCTTCTTTTGTTGGATATCGATGCTCTTTGTGGTTCTTACTTTTGTCATTGGTGTAAACATGGAAAAATTGGTCTGTGAACCTTACCAAAACAGGAAGTTATTCCAGGTAAATGAGGTTTTTGTTACCATTAAGGCAGAGCTTGAGCCAAAACTTTGGGTTTCTTCAAGAGCAGTGCAAAAAGATGAGTAGTTTGGTTTTTATTCAAAAAGTCGAGATTTCTTCTATTTGATATTCCTTCTACCAGAGCAAAAAAAATATATGTTATTATTATTATTTTTTGTAAGTGAAATCATACCAGGAATTAAAGCATGTGTATCAATGGGGACATTAATATTTGGGGAGAAGAAAATTTTGCTCAGCAGTAGTTCGCAAATGTGGCTGGAAATATCAGAAGGTAAATCCCCGGGTGCCTCCAAACCCCAGGAAGTTTCTGACATTTTAAAGACTTTCCCAGATGACAGTTGCCCACACAGATGGTTTGAGACCATATATTTGAAGTGAAGGGGATGATAAATTATATGCCTCCTGGCAAGATAGTTTGTTCTTGGCAGAATATGACGAGGCAGTTGGAAGTGGGTCTCAAGACTCATTTTCCCCCTCGAAACCCAACTTCTACGTAGTCTAGGGGGGCATGTCACATTTAGCTTCATTTAAGTAGAAGGACGTTTGGGTTTTCATGTTTGCCCTTTAAGTTTGGCTCTCCGATGTTTTTCTCCAGATTCTGATTTTTTAAACATATTTATGTTTCCCTGTTTTACTGTATATATTTTCCAATTCAGGATCTGCCACAAAATCAGGTGAATGGCTATTGAACTAATCAGTTGTTGTCATGGTGTTTTAATGATTTGATTGGTTGAGAAAAGCTAAATTGAGAGCATAGATTTGTCATATTATCCTCACATGGACTCTTGATAAAAAAAATAGTAACAACACATCAAACTAAACTTTATTATCTTCCATGTTGTGTTAAATCGTTAAAAATAATTCTTAAAAAGTAGGGGATATTTCTAAACCATTTCCACTCCTCAAGCACATACACAGCCATGCATGAATTAGCCCATGTTAAATATATATGACGTGAAGTCAGAGAATGTGTGAGTGCTAATTCATTTTGTCTAGAGAGAAGTAGTGAGGAGCTGGGTCAACCGCTTTGTGGCTTTCTATTATCTACTCTTAATAAAATGGTCTGTTCTTGTCATTTCTAATGTGTTTGTTTTACTAAAAAGTAGTGTTCTCCAAAGTAATTTCAATAATTTCTGCTGATGCTACCCAGTGGTGGTTTGATTTATTCCAACCACACTATTGTTTTATAGTTTTAAATTGAACATCAATGAGGAGCATCATGACATGAAAATCCCTAAAATATACTTAACATAACATTGTTTTTATTATATGTGTATATGTTAGTGTAAAACTGCCTTTTTTTAAAGTTTTGTTTTATTACTTAAAGTATTACAAAGAGTATTACATATGTCTCCCTTTTTCCCCCCCTTGACCTTCCCCCAGAAAACTGCCTTTCTTTTTAAAAAGTTTTAAAATTTGTTCTAGATTATGGACACACCATATTTACTAAATGAGAATTGGAAATACTATCTCTCTGGCAAGATACTTAACAATATGGATGTTAATCTCACTATTGAACAAGTTTACAGGTATAAGGTTTTTTTTGCTGGTTCAAATGTTGTTTATTTTCAGAATGATAATTTTATTTTCCAAGTGTCTTTAACTTTAATGATCAGACTTGCCAGTTTCAGAATTAAACTGTTCTCTAGTCTTACCAAAGAAATAGTAGAAATAAGACCAAGAAGTTGATCCTTCCCTTGAGAACCTTCTAGACCTTGGAATGGTGGTGCTTTAAGGTCCTCCTGTGCAGGGATCACTAGGACACACTGGTGAAAGTGACTTTAAAATGCATAGCATGACCCTGGGAAAACTCTTGTTCAAGGACCACCCTGCCCCAAATAAATGCCACGTAACACAAAGTCAGTGGGTGGGTCCAAACCACAGACGTGCAGATGGTGATGCAGCTCAAGGGCCAGTCTGTGGGGCGGGAGCTGCCTGGGCTCCCGTCCTGGCTCTGCCACCAGGCCTCTGTGATCGTAGACGGTACACTTCCTCGCTGTGCAATAGGAATGACATTTCAGTGTCTCTCAGATCCTCTAGCAGAGTCAGCAGGTGAGTGAGTGGCACATGTGTTCACCATCCTTTCACTTTGCCCTCCTGGCAGACATTGCTAATCAACTGTGGTCTTCTACTCAGCCCAGAGACCTCTCAGGATCTTTCTCAACAGCAGGTTCTAGGCCTGTGGTCGGCAAACGGCGGCTCTTTGGCCCCTTGAGTGTGGCTCTTCCTAAGCCTTAGGCGTACCCTAATTAAGTTAATAACAATGTACCTACCTATATAGTTTAAGTTTAAAAAATTTGGCTCTCAAAAGAAATTTTAATCATTGTACTGTTGATATTTGGCTCTGTTGACCAATGAGTTTGCCGACCACTGTTCTAGGCAGACATTATCAATCCATTGGTGTTTCTGTGCATGATTAAACCATCCCTATGTGGAGAGGACAAGACCACATTCTTTGTGATTCTGGCTCCTGTAGAACTCTAGTCTTCCTTCTGTTAGGACATCAAGCTTTCTGTTCCAGCAGCACCAGCCTACTTGGGGCTCTCTACGGAGGGCTATCACACCTCCTAGGGATGCGGAGTGTTTCTTCTCCAGGCACCTCTCAGGGCTCGAGGGCTCTGGCTGCAGCACAGGGAGGACACACCCACAGGAAGTGGCTGTGTGGGTGACAGAAATATGCATCAGATGAGGCTCAGGGGAGGTGGTTTTCTCATTTTAAGGAAGTGCAGAGAGGTGAGGCCAAGTCAGGTTTCTAGCCAAAGGATCCTGACCTGTCGGTAGCCCCCTGGGTGTCTCCATCCTGCCATTAGAATATGCCTCCAACCAGGTGTTTAGTGAGTGAAGCTCGGCCCTGGGGATACAGAGAGAGATGGACTGGCAGAGGTTTGACAGAACCTTTTAATAAAGCCCAAGATATGCCTTGTAACACCTACTTATAGCAAGTGTTGTTTTGTTTTTTGTTAAATTTAATTTTTTAATATTTTATTGATTTCAGAGGAAGGGAGAAGGAGAGAGAGAGAAACATCAATGATGAGAGAGAATCATTGATAAGCTGCCTCCTGCGTGCCCCCCACTGGGGATTGAGCTCCCAACCCGGGCATGTGCCCTGACCGGGCATCAAACCCTGACCTCCTGGTTCATAGGTCAGCACTCAACCACCCAGCCACACAGGCTGGGCTAGGGTGTTTTTAAATGAGAATTTATTTCTTTCCGATGTATAAATGTGTTATTCCTCATAGACCTGGAAAGAACACAGAGGAGACAGACAGAAGAACATATTTACCGATCCTACTGAATCTGTTTCCAAATGGGACATTTTGTAAAGTGGGGAACGAAGTCAGGAATGGTGGGCACCACGGGGGTCCAGGCCACCGCTGGTGACAGCCTGCTGCGTGGACCCCCAGCGGCCACTTTGTTCACAGATTAAACAGACTGTTACCCCTTCTTTTCCTCGTTGGCAGTGGACGGGGGGGCCACAGCTGCCTCTCTGGTTCATGGTCGCTCTGCTTATCCCCACAGCGACTGCAAAGACAACAAAGGCATCTACACTGCCCTGCGGCTGGAGAATGTCTACAATGTCAGTAAGCATCTCACCATTGAGGAGGTACGCACTCGGAACCAGCCAGGACATCCCGTGGCTCTTTCCCCAATCCACTTGTCTTTGCTGCTTCAAAAGGGGGTGAAATTCATATAAAATCAACCATTTTGGAGTGGCACTCCGTATGTTCTAATTCCAAAACACTTGCATCCCTCCCCACCAGTTGGTGTCTCTCTTGAGGCATGAGTACCTCCAATTGATTGTCCCCTAACAGGGCCTCCAAGGGAAAGATTCTGTCTCCCTGAGGGTTGGTGTTCCGAGAGGAGCAAGCCCCACTTGCTTCGCAGGGAGATTGGCTCCATAAGTCTGGCCACCGTTTTCTGCCAGGTCCCTGGAGAGGGGCTAGGCACCAAGAGCTATGGGCTCTCCTGAGCTCGGCTGGCCCTGGGCCCAGGACAGTGTAGGAGCAGGGATGGAAGGGGACAGGATGAAATGTCCCCTTCTGACCAGCAGAGGGAGCAGGAGAGTTTCAGCTGCCCAGGCTCAGGGTGCTGTCTCTCAAGGCCATCCCCACTCCCCTACACCTCCAGGCCCTCTGGGTTTCTCAGCTGTGTCTCAACCAATAGGCCTGTGTCTCCCTCTCCCTCTCCCTCCCTTTCTCCCTTCTGCTCTCTCTAAATATCCTTGGGTGAGGATTAACAAAACAAATTAAAAAATTTAAAAAGGGGGTTACAGTATACACATTTTGTATTGATTATATTCCCTAAATGTACCTTGCCTATATACATAAATAAAAATGTAATTTTGTAACCAAGCCTAAATAAATGCCCTCCACACATTTCCCCATCATGCCTGCCATTGGACCTTCTCTCTGTGTGCCAGGATGAGTAGCGGTGGGTGCGGAGGGCCCAGCATCTTCGGGCACCACACACCGCCGGCACTACCGGCTGGCTCTTAGGACGACCCCAGGCCATCCTCCCTGCTCCCATAAATGCATGCTCCCCAACCACCTGCGTCCAGTGCCTGTGCCTTCTGTCCCGGATGCAGCCTGCCTGCCCCCTTTCAGCATCTCTTTCGTTAAGACTCACTCAGAAGCCACCTCCTCTGTTTCGCCCTCCCTGCCTCCTCTCCTAGAAGGTTCTCCCCCATCCCTGGTGTCCTGGTGAAGGTCCTGTGCCTTTATTATGATATTGCCTCTGCCTTTTGAGGTCCTTGAGACTAAAGATATGCTGTTATTTTGCTTTGCACCCCCACCTCCTCACATAGCGCTCTGCATAGGGCATAAGGAAGAGGAGGGAAGAGTTAAGAAGAAATGCCAGTCAAGTGCCTGTGTATTTTTTTTGTCCTGTGTAATTTTTTTTCTAAATATATTTTTATTGATATCACATCAATGATGAGAGAGAATCATTGATTGGCTGCCTCCTGCACACCCCCTACTGGGGATGGAGCCGAAACCGGGGCATGTGTCCTGACGGGGAATTGAACTCTGACCTCCTGGTCTATAGGTCAATGCTCAACCACTGAACCATGCTGGTCGGGCTCCTGTAATTAAAAAAGAAAGAAAAGAAACAGATTTTTTTGAGAGAGAGGAAGGGAGAAGGAGAGAAACAATGATCGACTGTCTCCTGCATGTCCCCCCCCCTCCCCCCAGTAGGGGATGGAGCCCGCAACCTGGGCATGTGCCAAGACTGGGAATCAAACCAGCAACCTTTCACCTTTCAGTGGTAAAGGGATGACGCCCAACCAACTGAGCCACACTGGCCAGGGCTCTCTGGTGTAATTTCATTGCTCCTCTGTGACTTTTTTGGAGAAAAATGGACTTACTTATGACTTCTTATTGCACAGCACATTGAATACATGAACAATGAATTTGCAAAGATTAACGTGAACCTTGATGACATTATCCTCAAAGATGAAGGAAAAAGAAACCTTCTGGATTTCAGTGACTCAGGAGTGGAGCAAATCGATTATTACACTTACTTGACTGAGGTATGTGTGACCCATGTGTCCACAAGTGGTCTTTGGGGGGAAATTAGAACACAAGTCTTTTTTAGTCTGTTTTGATTTACTTTTTTATTAAGATGAAATTCACATAATAGAAAAGCAACTATTTTTAAGTGAACAATCGCTAGTGTTCAGGATAATCGCACTGGGACACAAGGCCCCACCTCTGTCCAGCACGAGAACACCTCCATTGCCCAAAAACAGAGCCCTGTGTCCCTTCAGCAGCTGCCCCACATCCCCGCTCCTGGCCCTTGGTCGCCACCAACCTGTGCTCCATTTCTATGCATCTACCTGTCCTGGGTAATTTGATATGAGTGGGATCTTGCAGGATGTGACCTTTGTGTTTAATGGCCTTCACTGACCCCTTCATGTAGCCCACCATTTTTGAGTCTGCAGACCGATGCTCTATCCACTGAGCCAAACTGGTCAGGGCTAAGGCCACCATTTTTGAGGTTCATCTGCGTGACAGCACGTGCCAATCAGTACTTCTGTTCTCCATGTGGTCGCATAGTATGGTCGCATGGGTCTAAAGACGAATGCAGACACTATGCATGAGTGTCTGCCCGACTTTATGGACCATGCTCCTTCTGTTGCCTATTAGACGTTATTAAGATTTTAAAAAACCATAGTCATGACATGGTTCTTTTTAATCTCTTTTTTTCAGACAGGTAAATCGTTAACCAAAGTGAATCTCTTAACATATGCAAGTGGTTTAAAAGAACACGCCGACAAGTTGGTGAGTCCCGAAGGCCCAGTTAAATTCTGAAATCCCTGTCAATATCCAATGCCAACACGGCTGTTAGGGGAGCTACTGAGCGATTCCTCACACCACAAGGAACCCCTTCTTTAAAAAAATATTTTAATTTATTTCAGAGAGGAAGGGAGAGGGAGGAAAGAGGGAAACATCAACAATGAGAGAGAATCATTGATCAGCTGCCTCCTGCATGTCCCACACTAGGGATCAAGCCCAAAACCTGGGCATGAGCCCTGACCGGGAATCAAACTGTGACTTCCTGGTTCATAGGTCAACTCTCAACCACTGAGCCACACTAGCCTGGCAGATAATCCCTTCTTGACAAACACTTCTTCAAGTTTCCATCAGCAGCCACAGCTGCGTGGCCCAAAAATCTGTGAGCGTGGGAAGGCTCCCATGGTGGCAGCTCTTCCCGAAGCCAGTGCTTGGTGCTGGTGCCCATAATGGATTTATCACTGGCTCTGTTTCTCCTCAGCAATCCCTCCTTTGCCAAACCCATTTGCATACGTGTTCCATGAAGCGCAGGGGATGGTAACTAAGGGCACGGGAGGAGATTCCGAGTGGTCCTCCATATCACTAATAAGACATGGCTGAGGGGTCCAGCTGGCGTGGTTCAGTGGTTGAGTGTCGACCTATGAACCAGTAGGTCACGGTTCAATTCCCAGTCAGGGCACATGCCCGTGTTGCAGGCTCAATCCCCAGTGAGGAGTGTGCAGGAGGCAGCCAATCAATGATTCTCTCTCATCGTTGATGTTTCTATCTTTTTCTCCGTCTCCCTTCTTCCCTGAAGTCAATAAAAATACATGGAGAAAAAAAAAGAAGTGTCCCCATCCGAGCCTCCTTCATCAGCATCCCTTTCATTGGCTGCTCTGCTGGCTGGAGACAAAATGGTCCCTTTCAAGAAGCAGCGGAGCATGGGCTGGCAGCAGGGGGGTGGGGGGAGCACCAGGGGTCTGGAGGAAGACCCAGATGAAATACTGACTCAGCCACTTCCTAACTGTGGGACCCTGGGCAAGACATTCCCCATCTGTGCCCTAATTTCCTCCCCTGGAGACGGGGGCAGGAGGACCTTTACCCCTTCATACAGTAAACCCTACTGCGGTGTGAGTTCAAGAACACGGGCTCAGTCAAGCCTTGGTTTTCTCATTGCAAAACAGGGACATGGGTACTATAAAGTGACTTATAGCTCTGTTACAGGAGGTGGGAGAGTGGGAACACAGCCCAAGGCGCTCAGGATGGCTAATGAATGTGGCTTAAAACTCATAGCTCGTGAGGCCCCTCCCGGCAGCTCCCAGGCCCACAGATACCATGGCACAAGGGCTGGGCATTCAAGTGCTCTGCCATCTGGAAAAATGGGGTTGATCTGTGTTTATTTCTTCCCTCTGTAGCCCCCCGGAGTCTTAAAAGAGTCCCTGACAAGGAACATAATCAAGATCAAAGACATTCACAATATCAAGGCCCTGCCTTTGGAACTGCAACTGGTAACAGTCAGCCTCTGGCATCTCCCTGCAAGCTGACCACGGCCCATTCCACTGGTGGGCTTTCCTGTGGCCCAAGGACACGTGTGCATGTCACAAGGGTCAAATTCGATTGGCCTCAGGCCGAGAAGCTGAGCTATTTGGAGAAGCATATTAGCTCACTTGACCTCAACTTCAGAAGCTACTAGAACTAGCCTCTCTTTTTCTTCTAACTTTTTAATTCATTAGCGTATCCCCAAAATCCTCTTACTGTGCTCATCACAATTTTCTGCCATACTTGTTTATGCCCAGCACAAATTTGTTCATAGGTGTGTGTGTGTGTGTGTGTGTGTGTGTGTGTGTGTGTGTATTGACTTCAGAGAGGAAGGGAGAGGGAGAGATAGAAACATCAATGATGAGGAGAATCATTGATTGGCTGCTTCCTGCATGCCCCACACTGGGGACTGAACGCACAACCTAGGCATGTGCCCTGACCGGGAATCAAACCATGACCTCCTTGTTCATAGGTCAATACTTAACCACTGAGCAACACTGGCTGGGCCAAATTTGTTCACATTAAAAGCTGGGTTTTGCATGTCCCTTAAATGCCTTCCTTCAAGCAGACTCAGGGCTCCATGGTCTTTTCAGAGCTGGAGCAACCTGTCTACAAATAGGCAAGTTATTCTGTAGTCATGACCCACAGTGTAAACCAGAAGTTAGCTAACTCTGGCCCTGAAAACCACAGCCTGTGGGCCAAAGCTTGCCTGTTGTCCTCTTTTACAAAAAATTTTTTAAAAATATATTTTATTGAATTTTTACAGAGAAGAAGGGAGAGGGATAGAGAGCTAGAAACATCGATGAGAGAGATCGATCAGCTGCCTCTTGCACAGCCCCCAGTAGGGATGTGCCCGCAACCAAGGTACATGCCCTTGACCGGAATCGAACCTGGGACCCTTGAGTCCGCAGGCCGACGCTCTATCCACTGAGCCAAACCAGTTCGGCAACAAAAATTTTATTGGGACTCAGCTGTGCTCCCTTATTCACAGATGATCTGTGGCTGCTCTTGGCTGCAAGAGCAGAGTAGAGTGGTTGGGATAGGGCATGGCCCGCAAAGCCTCAACTCTTTACTATCTGGTCCGAAACTGATAATGTTTGCCAGTCCCTGTTCTAAACCATATACGTTAAACCACTCGTGTTGGGCAGCTTTACTTTAAGTAACAGACTTGTATGCTATGCGCTGCCCTTTGCAGTTCTAGAATATGCATCCTGGTTTTCCAGTTCCCCACATAGAGGTGTGTGCGGCACACGGTTACTGGAGACTGGTGTTTTTGTTTTGTTTTTCAGAATGACACCCATTTCAGAGTAAAGTTGGATTTGGGTGAGGGGGGTGCAAAAGGTGTGTGATCTTGCTGCTTCGTGTCATAAGCTGGAAACTATTGCCTCTGTTTATTTACTAGAAAGAACTACACCGTCAAATTCAGGAGCTTCAACAAAGAGGCAGTGGATTGAAGGCAAGGATGTGTTTTCTTTTTCAGTCATGGGTCTTATTATAAAGCGCATACAGACTTTCAGAGATGTTGCTTTTTCAGGTACTTTACATTTTTAAAAAGTCTCAATGACTCACTTATTTTAAATGCCAAACTGGGTTTTCCTACCATGATTTTTTGGTAAGTACTTCTATCAGTACAAACCTCATTTTGGCACAAGGTTAGGCCCATGGGAAAGCTGCACTTGGATGTGTAGGATGCAGACTTAGAAGATGCACCAGTCACTTTCACCAAGATAATGCTGCCTAACAAACAGCCTTCAGGTCTCAGTGCCTTCTGACCACAGACTTTCACTGTTGGGTGGACTGTAGGCTTCTCCATACATTGCCTTCCCTAGAGACCAGCCTGGAGGAGCAGTTTCTGTCTGAGTTGCCTCACGTCCTCTGAGTGCAGAACAGGAATTTAGAGGATGAATGGGAACACAGGTTGCCCTTTAAGCCATTTCTTAGAACCAGCACATGGCCACTTCCTCTACGTCCATTGGCCAAAGCATGCCCCACGAACATGCCTGTCATCACCAGGCAGCCGTGACCAACTAATACAGTTCACCACAGGGGCTCTCTGAGTTGGAAACATTTCCACAACGGAAACTGAGCTCCCGGGCTGTGTTGCATTCAGCTGTAGCCACCATGTCAATGGGCAGCTCAGGAATATTCCTCATTTAATGCAATGGGCTGCCCTGAAGGTTTTGAAGGTTAGCCCCAACACAGAAAACTTCATGTCCTTCTCTGGGCTTTCCTCGGAGCTCCACATGTTTACCTTCATCATAGGGATTCTTGCCATATTTGACTGGGTCTCACCTGCCCACCCCACTGCTCCAGTAAACTGTGAGCTCCTTAGGTGGCCCTTGGTCTTCTCTCTGGGCAGCACTGAGCCTGCCTCTTTGTTGACGTACCAAAGTCTGACTTAGTTCCTCTGAAGCCTATTAGGTTTACTCTGCTCTGGACCGTCCCTGTACCTTTAGTCACGGTTACCATTTCATAAGTGTGTGTCCCATGCCAAGGGAATCTGAGACAGACTGGTGACCTTATATAGATCCTGTGCCACCCCAACACACTTCAGAATTAAGGGTGACAACAGGCAGCTATGCACTGACCTGCAAGAGGGGCAGGTGGGGGCAGAAATCCACTCTTGACTCACTGTCTAGGGCTATGTGCCCTGAGGTCTCTGGGCACCTCTAATTTGCACCAAGCTGCCCTGTGGGTAGGCAGTGGCATTGTTCTTATTTGTGTGACAGTGCAAAGCATGTGGACTTTGGAGTGAAAGTTCAAATTCCAGGTCTTAGGCTTCCCGGCTTGTTCACTGGGCAGAGTCAGCCCCCTCGCCTATGAAGGGGCATAACAATACCTTCCTTTCGTCCTTGTGAGTATTCAGTGATGTGATTCAGATAAAGGACCTAGCCCAGTATCTGCCTCAAATGCTTGCTACATATCCATGTCCTTCCCCCTGAACCACAGAGCGTTGAGCTGGTTCTATGGTCCCCTTGCCTTACAAGCTGTGGTGGTGTGGGATTGAATTAACAGCACTCACATCAATACTCAAACTGTCCGATGAAACCCTTTTATCACTTGATACCATGTTGATTGTTTCTGTGTTTTCCAGGTGAAAGTGACCAATATTCTTGACGCTTTGGATTCTTCTCAGAAATTCATCACAAACGATCTTCCATCTATTATTATTGAAGTAAGACTCTTAAAAAAATAGTTTTTCTTTCTTTTCCTTTTTTTTCTTTTTTTGTTAATCCTCACCCAAGGATATTTTTCCATTGATTTTTTTAGAGAGAGTAGAAGGGATGGGGGGAGACACAGAGAGAGAAACATTGATGTGAGAGAGACACATCGATTGGTTGCCTCCCGCAAACACACCAATCAGAACTGGGGATCGAGCCTGTAACCCAGGTACATGCCCTTGACTGGCTAAGGACTGACACTCTCATCACTGAGCCAAACTGGCTGGGGCCAAAAAAGACATAAAAAAATCAGTATGCCAATAAGTAGATATGTGACCATAACTACCTGACTCAGTAGAGTATCATCCTAACAGTTTTCCTACTCTTTGATTTCTTTCTAGGAAAGTAAGGAGTATGCAGATATAATCGTTTCATATTTTCAATATTATCTGAACTGGGCCAAGGTCGCTGTAAGTAGCTTCTCTTTTATGACCATACTGAAGTCATGTGTTAGAACAGTCATTTTCTAGGTTAAAATCAGAAGGAAATAAAAATCAAATTCCTGCCCTAACCGGTTTGGCTCAGTGGACAGCTCGAGCATCAGCTTGTGGACTCAAGGGTCTCAGGTTCGATTCCAGTCAAGGGCATGTACCTTGGTTGTGGGCACATCCCCAGTAGGGGGTGTGCGGGAGGCAGCTGATCGATGTTTCTCTCTCATCGATGTTTCTAACTCTCTATCCCTCTCCCTTCCTCTCTGTAAAAAATCAATAAAATATATTTTTAAACAAATAAAATTCCCAGTAATTTGGTGGGAGATAAAGAAAAAGACCTTGAATGCAGGGACCACAACTGGAGGCTCCATGAGACACAGTACAAATGCCATCCACACTGGGTGGCTCCTTGGGCCAACCACCAGGTTGGAGAATATTGCCCTCCTTGTCTCCCCCGGCAGCTTCCTGGGCTCACCTTCCTCACAGGGATCCTTGCCACACTTGACTGTGTCTCCCGAGTGAACCATGAGCTCCCTAAGATAGAGTCCATTTGGAGCTTGGTTTGTACACACCATGGGCAGCACTGAGCCTAGGACATTGTTGGGTAGTCAGCTAGGTGTGGTTTAAACAACAGAGATTTATCATATCACAATTCTGGAGACCAGAAGTCCAAGATCAAGGTGTTGGTAGGGTTAGTTCCTTCTGATGCCCCTCTTCTTGGATTGTAGATAGCAGTCTTCTTTTTGTGTCTTGGTCTTTCCTCTGTGAGTGTCTGTCCAAATTTTCTCTTCTTTTGTAAGGGCACACATCATGTTGGATTAAGGTCCACCCTAATGATCTCATTTCAACTGACTTGTCTCTTCAAAGACAGTATCTCCAAATATAGTTTTGAGGTACTGGGGTTAGGACTTCAACATGTGAACTTTTGGGGAATGCAATTCACTCCATAATCGTTATATCTCCATGAATATATCAGAAAAGTTGAAGAGCAAAGTTTCCAGGGGTTTTAAGGTAGCACATTGCTCCCAGCACCCAACTTTTGTGGAATATAGTGTCTTGAAAAATGCCTTTTGTCATCTTGAGCTCTGGGCTGGCTTCCCTCGAGGATTATTCCACTGGGGGAAGGTGGTGCTTGTAGCTGACTAACTCGGGTGGGTGCTGCCAGCCAAATGGGCTTGAAGAAGTTGAGCAACTCGGGAAAATTTGGGCTACCCCTGAGCAGCCCTGGGCTTCTCAAATCCTATCCCTGACCCTTCACCATATGAGCCAAAACTGCCTGGCCATCTTCTTCTTTTCTGCCCCACCCCACATTCCAGTCACACTCCACTGCTTGATTCCCTGAAACTTCCACATTTCTTTTTGTAAAATATATTTTTATTGATTTCAGAGAGGAAGGGAGAGGGAGAGATAGAAACATCAATGATGAGGGAGAATCATTGATCAGCTGCCTTCTGCGTGTGCACCCCCCCCCCCCACTGGAGATTGAGCCTTGACTGGGAATTGAACCATGACATATCATTCATAAGTTGATTGATACTCAACAGCTAAGCCATGCTGGCCAGGCAAATGTTCACATTTCTCCATGCGATTCCTTCTGCATGTCATATCCTCCTTGCCAATCCCTGCCTCTGGTACCCACTCTCCTGCAGTTGCTGGGCCATGCACCTGGTCCTCCTTTAAGAGCCAGCTTCTTGATGTGTGTGCTGACACCTCCTCCCATGCCCCAGGTGTGAGGGCCTCGGGATCTTCTCAGTGCCAGCATCCAAGTGAGTGGTGGTGGAGGAGATGCATTATCGTTATCACCACCATCGCCACTGCACATCTCCTCCACTAGACCAAGGGACCACATTTGGGTCACATTCATACCTGTAATACAAAGCAAACACTCTGGAACCAAAGCGAGTCTAGACAGGAATGGCTGTGTTATACACGAGCCACACTGTGGGAATATTAAGTGGCCATTTGTACAAAATGATCAGAGCCACACCACGAGACTTGGAGAGAAAAGCAAGCTGCAGAAAAACATACAGAATATAAGCCGTTACCCCACTTTCTGTAAAACTAACAGAAGCCTATACAGAGAGTGTGTAATGTTGTTTGAACTTGGAGAGACATAAGGTTATTAACATGGGTTGCCTTGTAAGGTCTATAGGTGAACCAACCAAAGATGGAAGAGAAATAAGACACTCTCTATTCTCTATATTCCAATGTTTTTTGAGTGAATGAATGAATGTAGCTCTTTTAAGTCAATGGGATTGGAGCATCTGTCTGGGATTCACTGAACTTATTTACTTTCACCTCATTAATGAGTACATTGTTTTCTGTCTTCTAGAACAAGGTCAGCAGGTACTGCTGTTTTTGTAAATGAAACTTTATTGGCACTCAGCCACACCCATGTCTGGATATTGTCTGTGGTTGCCTTTGCCATGGCAGAGTCGGCAGTCTCACCTGCAAAGTCTAAACTATTTACTCTCTGGCTCTTTATAGGAAAAGTTTGCTGGCCCTGGTTCTGAAATGTGCACTTATTAGTTAACCAGCTTTCCATTTTCTTCCCACATCCTTTGTCAGATTCCAAAGGGGTCAGGTAAGAATTCAGACTGAGTACACTTTGCTGGACAGGTGTACTTTTTTTTTTTTTTTTAACAGGAGGAAAATCAGAGTTTCGTACATGTGCATGGGGAATTCACGTAGACATGATACAACCATGAAAAGTCCAACATTGGGTATGCTGGGCATTTTGGACAAAGGAGAAAAGGGAGAGAATGGGGTATTAGATTTCAGAAGTGGCGATTCACAGGTAGTTGAGGAAGATCGGAACCCGCGTGGCAGGACAATTCTTGCTGGCTGACTCAGAAACAACAGGCACAGGGGCTACCGAGCTGACAGGCACCTGCCTGAACCCTCCTGTTGACCATGATTCATTAGGCTAAGGCAACATCCTAAGACCTCCTTCCGGAAGCAGGCTTCTCAGTCTGACTCTCAGGAGAGGGGGTGCAGAGGGTCAAAGGTTCTTTCTTAGTCTTTTGTTTCTTAATAAACAGCTTAAAATCAGTATCTGAAAAAGCAGCTTCAGGATGGCAGACTTTTGATTCCTTCCATCACCACGCAAGTCCCCGAGCAAATTCCTAGGGGTGTGAGCTAGAGGCCCAGGTTAATCAAGGGCAGCTTACACACGCGAGCTGTTCATTTTCTGCTGGTGGCTCACTGGTCCATGTGGGAAGGAAGGCCTGCAGTCCTATTCCCTTTTCTTTTCTTTTATGTTTTTTGGGTTTTTTTGTTTTAATGCTTAAAGTATTACAAAGAGTATTACATATGTCTCCTTCCCCCCCGCCCCTTGACATTCCCCTGGCCTTCCCTACCCCGCAGTGTCTTATGTCCATTGGTTATGCTTATATGCATGCATACAAGTCCTTTGGTTGATCTGTTACCCACCCCTGCCGCCCCCCAACCCTCCCCAGCCTTCCCGCTGTAGTTTGACAGTCTGTTCAGTGCTGCTCTGCCTCTGTATCTATTTTTGTTCATCAGTTTATAATGGTCTTTATTATCCATAAATGAGTGAGATCATGTGGTATTTTTTTTTCATTGACTGGCTTATTTCACTTAGCATAATGCTCTCCAGTTCCATCCATGCTGTTGCAAATGGTAAGAATTCTTTTTTTTTTACAGCAGCATAGTATTCCATTGTGTAGATGTACAACAGTTTTCTAATCCATTCATCTGTTGATGGGCACTTAGGCTGTTTCCAGATCTTCACTATGATAAATTGTGGTGCTATGAACATAGGGATGCATATATCCTTTCTGATTAGTGTTTCTGGTTTCTTGGGATATATTCCTAGAAGTGGGATCACTGGGTCAAATGGGAGTTCCATTTTTAACTTCTTGAGGAAACTCCATACTGTCTTCCATAGTGGCTGCACCAGTCTGCATTCCCACCAGCAGTGCACGAGTGTTCCCTTTTCTCTGCATCCTCTCCCAGGTGTACTTTTTTATTCTCTCAGGGGTCCAGTAGGATGGGTCCTGTTGTTCCAAATGACAAGTGAGGAAACTGGAAACTGAGGCTCAGAGAGATTCAGTGCCTTGCTTTCAAACACATACTTTTATATGTCTTCAAACTCACCCATAGAAACCAGCTCTCAGCTCCGACTCTCAGCTCTGAATCTTAGCGGACAGAGGAAACAGGCCAGAGGAACACGGCATGCCTGGCTCTCATGCATTCGTGGCTCTGGCTCAGAGTCTGCCTGTGTTTCTTTCCCCCTCAGATCATGGAGGAGATCGCAGCCTGCAAACCTGTGGCCACTGCTTTCAATTCTGCTTTTGACGTCTTTCTGTGCAACTACATTACCAAACCCATGGTGAGAATTTCATCTTTCAAAATAAGGACAGGCGACAACCTCATTATCTTTGATTCTCCTCCCCCCAGGATTGTACTACACACTGTAACATAAAATAGTTTTCTGCTCAGGTGTGTTACATTTAGACCTAAAATCTAAAACGGAAATGAATATGTTCTTGTACCTAATTCACTAGAAAAGTCCAAGACTTAGCTGTGATTCTTTGTTCCTTACTAGAACGGTGTTCACAGAAGGTAGGAGACCCTCGTGAAGAAAACTATTTGTCCAGAATAGTTGGAAAGGAATAGTCATTGGTGGCTTTGGGTGGTTGTCGTTTAACCCAAGCTGCCTTTGCCTCACGGTGGACTGGGGAGGACTGCTCTAGAGTTGCCTACAGGACTAGCCTAAGGCACAGGATGAATACTTGAACCTCTCCTGGGACCTGGCAGGTTGTAGATTCACAAAGCAGGACACATGTAAGACCCTGTCTGGGCACACACAGCATCATCTGATGGTGCAGCTGATTCGGTTCTGATTGCTGAGCAAGCTTAAACAACGTTGGCTGTCAAAGTCAGTGGTGTGGCCGTGGCAGACTGAGGCTGACACCCTCCAGAAGGAAGAACCAGCGCTCAGCCCCAGCCGATGCTGCCATGCGGGAGGAAGGGCTCGGTGTTATGAGACATGACTTCAGACTTTTCAAGAAAAGACATGAATCCAAATTTCTCTATGAAATCTGACTTGGGGATATTGGCAACTGTTTAAAAAAATACTTTAACATTGCTTTTTAGACAAAACAGGATTGAATCCAGCTTACCAGCTACCTTAAATATTGGTTCAATTAAACATGGGCCATTTGTTGCCCTGATGGAGTAGCTCAGTTGGTTACTAGTAGAGCATCATCCTGATACACCAAGGTTGTGGGTTCAGTCCTAGGTCAGGGCACATGCAAGAACCAACCAATATGTAGGTGGATAGTCCTAGCCGGTTTGGCTCAGCGGACAGAGCATCGGCCTGCAAAACAAAGGGGATGTACCAGTCAAAGGCACGTACCCGGACCAGATTGGGGGTGTGTACAGGAGGCACCTAATTGATGTGTTTCTCTCATATCAATATTTCTCTTTGTCTTTCCATCTCTCTCCCACTCTCTCTAAGAATCAATGGAAAAATACCTTTGGGTAAGGATTTAAAAAATGAAAAAATGTAGGTGGATAGGTGGAACAACACATCAATGTTTCTCCGCCCCCCCCCCCCCCCATCCCTTCCTCTTTCTCTCTAGAGCAGCCGTGGGCAAACTACGGCCCGCGGGCAGGATCCGGCCCGTTTGAAATGAATAAAACTAAAAAAAAAAAAAAAAGACCGTACCCTTTTATGTAATGATGTTTACTTTGAATTTATATTAGTTCACACAAACACTCCATCCATGCTTTTGTTCCGGCCCTCCGGTCCAGTTTAAGAACCCATTGTGGCCCTCGAGTCAAAAAGTTTGCCCACCCCTGCTCTAGAGTCATAAAAGTTAAAAAAAATAAACATGGACTGTTTGTTGAGAACCTAGTACACACTAAGCATTGCTACGTCTTCTTCACACAGTATTGTCATAGGGTGAGGATGCTGCTGTCCACGGTTCAGAGGCGGGACAAAGCCCAGAGAGGTTCTAGTCACTGTAACATCAGAACTCACCAAGGGGACTGGAGCGCCTGCCTGTGGCTGTCCATGCTGCATCCTTGGCAGCACAGGGGGCTGGCTCACAGCTATTTTGCATGTCCTAGAAGCCAACCTGGCTCCCTCACTTACCCTCTCTGTTACTTTTTCTTTAAGCTTTTTAAAAAGGGTTAATGAATTATAATAATTTGTAGCGTGTTACCCGGTGGCTGGCTCCTATCAAGTTCGCCAGTGGTTTCAATGAATGAAATTAGAACTCATTTCTAAAAACTGCAAAATAGAATTCTTTTCCCCAAGTAACTGTTGTTTCCCATTTCCCATCTTCATGCATGTAATCCTCCCGGTTTTCTCCTTTTCCCTAGAATTTGTTTTGGTTTGGCATAGGAAAAGCTACCATACTGCTACTTCCGGCTATAATTATTGCTGTGAAGCTAGCCAAGTACTATCGGAGGATGGACTCGGAGGATGTCTACGAAGAGTAAGTAGGAGCAGGCGACTTGCCGAGGCTGAGGGTCACTTCCTCTGCTGCTGCCCACACAGAGATTGCTAAAGACGAGCTCTGATGAGATGAAACTTGTTTCTTTTTCTTTTCTTTTCTTTTTTAATTACTGGGTCATCTCTGTTCAGATATTTTCTTTGTACCAACTTTCTCGGGCTTGATTTAACTATTTTTCCCCTGCTTGCTTACTCTCCTCAGCTTCCTTAACCAGCCTTCTTATTTCTTGTTTGCAGTTCTGTCTCGGGGACTTGGCACTTGACATTGTAGCTGTTTTCACTAGTTTGCATTTCGACCCTGTGGTCTGCCCTTCACTCTGAGTTCTGCGACCTTGTACACTTCATTTTCACATCACTCATCTCCTTCTCAACCTGTATTTCTCCTGAACTGGTTCTGTCCACATCATATTAGACTAAAAACGTGGGGCGGGGAGTACAGCTGTTGAGCTATGATAGTAATTTAAAAGAAATAATTGTATTTTTTTGTATTTTATAGTGATGAAAATATACCCATGAAAAAGTAAGCCTTTTCTTTTTTTAAACCATGTTCTTAAGATGGGACTGGGTGGGGGGGGGTCTTTATTATTATACAATGGACTTTTTAAGCTAAATTAATAATGTCTTAAAATTACATAACAACAATAGATATGTCCAGATAAAAATAAATGCCGATGGCTCTTAAAAATGAGGACTGGCATATGGATGCTGAAGAAATACTTGCTGAATTAATGAAAAGTGTATGTTAAATGCAAATATATAAAACGGTTGCTTTAATATTTTGTTCTTAAAGGGAGCACATTTGCCTTTGTAGATTTAACAAGTGGTCACATGACTGTTTATATGTTGTCTCTGTAATCCATGATGTCACTACTTCGTCTTAGAGATAATGCGGTGTTTGGGGGATGTTTGTTTGTGTTGCAGTATGTACAGGTCAGCCTCTAACCCTCTATGAGCAAAGCTGGTGAACAGATCCAACTGCACGGTTCTCGGTCTGCAGCGTCTCCAAGTATTGGAAGAGAAACCGCCCTGTAGGAGTTTACAGATTCGGTGGTAGCGTCCGAAACATGCCCTCATGGGCCCACGGCACAAAGTGTGCCCCTGCTTTCCACCTTTCGAAGTGGGGCTTTCGCCATCTGAGTCTTCCCTAAGAGTTTAAATGTGTAACACATTCATTCATTTTCAGTTTAGCCTTTGGAACCAGACATGAATTTTGTCACATTTCATTGCACAGAAAGTTAGACTTTAGTTGGAAGAAGTTCACAAATAGCAGATATGAGTGTGAACAATAAAAGAATGGTTTCCAAAATATGACTCCAATCTTCTTATTGAAAAAAAAACTTCTTATTTCAATATCTTCTTCTTGAAAAAATAGTTACCATTTAAGGCACTGTATTATTTTTTTAGGGTGGCTATAACAAAGTATATAAACTGAGTGGCTTAAAGCAACAGGAATGCATTCTTTCTTGGTTATGGAGATCTGAAGTCTGAAATCAACATGCGATCAGAGTTGGTTTCCCCTAGAGGGCCCGAGGGAATCCATGCCAGTCTCTGAGAGTCTGATGATTGCAGGCAGCCCATGGCGTTCCTTGGCTTGTGGACTTAGCACTCTGATTTCTGCCTCTCCCTTCACATTTGTTTCTTATGAAAGCCCTGTGCCTTTCACCTGCCCCCTCATATAATCCTCACCACATCTCTATGAGGTCAGTCAGTATTCCTATTGATAAACCAAGTGCCTGAAGCTGACAGAGGCGAGTGATCCAACATCACACAGCCCTTAAGTGTCCAGGTAAGAAGAGGATCCAGGTCCTCCATCCCACGGCTCCTGGTTCCTAGCACATGGACAGCAGAGGCTAGGGTGGGTTTGGCACAGACCATTTCCTAACGTTTCAATCTAAAACCACCAGATACGTATCCAGTGTTTTCTGATGATGAAATGCAGTGTGAATCAGCACTGTTCAAAGTGTGGCCTGAGGGCACAAAGAAACTGGATCATGTGGGGAGCTCTAGAAATACTAATTCTCGGATTCCAACCCAGACACACTGAGGGTGAGGCCCAGGAATGTGTATTTCTTAAAATATATTTTTATTGATTTCAGAGAGGAAGAAAGAGGGAGAGAGAGAGAAACATCAATGATGAGAATCATTGATTGGCTGCCTCCTGCAACCCCCACACTGGGTATCGAGCCATAACCTGGGCATGTGCCTGGACCGGGAATAGAACCATGACCTCCTGGTTCATGGTCAATGCTCAACCACTGAGCCACGCTGGCTGGGCAGGAATGTGTATTTTAATAAGCTTTTCAGATGAGTCCAAAACACAGTATACTTGGCCAAGCTATATTGCAAATCACCATAAAGGACAGGTCTTGGTCTATAGCCCAGGAAATGCGACTATGCCCCATCACAAACAATGGATTGCTGCAAAGCAGCCTGTCTATTTAACCCAGGGGTCCTCAAACTTTTTAAACAGGGGGCCAGTTCACTATCCCTCAGACCGTTGGAGGGCTGGACTATAGTTTAAAAAAAAACTATGAACAAATTCCTATGCACACTACACATATCTTACTTTGAAGTAAAAAAACAAAATGGGAACAAATACAATATTTGTATTTGCATGTGGCCCGCGGGCCGTAGTTTGAGGACCCCTGATTTAACCTCTGCAGGAGGGAAGGCAGAAGGTAGAGCCAGTCCTGAGAGTATGTCCAGGGCTAACCACCAGCCCCAAAGCTGACCATCAGTTTGAAACGTCCGTCTCCACTCCTCTCCTCCCATGTAGGGGCTCCTACAGGCCCTCCTGCCTTTCCTGAACTGCTGCCAGCACCCCCCTAGGTCTGATAAGTGATTTTCACATATCTATTCTAAATGAGCATTTATTGCATTGCTGTCTCCCAGCTAGATCGCTAACACTTGTGTACAAAGCTCCTGTCTTGATTTCCTTTGGTTCCCCACCATGTGTTAGAGGAAAAATGGACTTCCGTTCAATATGACTCTCCCTTGAGAAGCAACGTGAGCTCCCTTAGCCTCATCACCTCTTGTAAATGGGGCGAGGATTGCCCTCACCTCATTGGATGGGTGTGATGATCAGCATGATGCCTGGCACTGACGGACTCAAAGTGGAGCCCATGTCACTCACCAAGGTAGGCTTTCAATAAATAGCAGATCAAGTTTCCTTGTGAGGCAGTGAACTCCTTGTCAGTAGGTCTTCAAGCAAAGGCTAGTCAGCCTACATGTGTGATGTCCAGAGGGGGAGTCTCCATTTGGTTCCAAGAGAAAAGGAAAGGGAATAGGTAGAGTAGGAGCATCTCTGTCTGCCACTTGGACAAGAATGGCACTGACAGAATCTGTCTGAGGTAACTATTTTTGGAACTCTGGTGTCTAGTAAAGGCTTGCAAATTCCAGGGGAAGGCTTGCATGGTAAATGATTAACTTTGCTCAATTTCAACCCTTAGCTCTGCAGCTCCTACCCATCCCTGACCCTAGTCCATGTGTTTCCAGAGTAGCTTGCACACAGACTTTGAGTGCCAGGATGGGTGGTGAGGACCCTGTCGCTCACCTATGAGAGATGTGTGTTTGAATCACTGATTGCTGCTTCCCATCACAGAGGTGCACACACTAAAGTGGGCAGCCGCTGTTGCAGCCCCTCTGAGAACCAGCTGCTATAATGCTCACACATCTGGCTATGTAGATAGTTCACAACACTGCCCAAACGGTCTATCCAGAGATCAGACCAGCAACATGATCTATCCCAGTCACACTTTCAAAGTCCTCTCTACCTCTTGCTGATGTCATCAGCTGAGAATGAGAGGGAACATGAAATGTCTGTTGAAAGGCATGTTCATCAGCCCTTTGCCAGGGATGGTGTGATGTCATATGGCTGTAATTGACCCTGACAGCCAGAAATATGGCAGAGCTCAGTCTCAAGTGCTACTTTGGTGGGGCCCAAATCTGTCACACCTGCTACCCAGGCAAATTTGTTACAAACTGTGGTCAGTTTATACACAGAGCTCAATAACACCTAGATGAGGCACATATTATCTCCTGTCCCCAAATAGTCCAACTCAGTCTGGGCTTCCCTTTTTGGTCATGTGACTTTTCCTTTACTGTCTCAGGAATCAATATTTGAGCCTCAGTCCTTAGTACCCCCAAGAATTGACTTGGGTGGCTGACCCCAGATCTGCTCAGGACTCAACACCCCTGTTTTTATATGAGTCAGAATCTGCTCCTAAGCTGCTGTCCCCTGCTCTCCCTTGGAGCCTATTAGCAGATATCATCAGTGTAGTCACCACCTGGAAAGAAGGCTCATGCCACTACTTTTGCCATCCACTGGTGGCAAATGGGAGAATTCAGGACAGTGTTTGCAGGTCCAGGTGATCTTCCAGGCAAACTGATCTTTGATATTTTGTGCCAAAGAGATTGAGAAAAAAGTATTAGCCATGCCCAAAACAGAAAACTACCAAAATGTGTAAACAATTTAGCTACAGTCACAAAGTCTAGCAAGACTGGGATTATAGAGGCAACAACTGAATTTTGTTGGTGATATTCCACCGTGGAAACAACCATTTGGCTTTAGGTGAAGCAGAAATAACTTTCCAGCCCTAGCTGGTTTGGCTCAGTGTATAGAGCATCAGCCTGCAGACTCAAGGGTCCCAGATTCGATTCTGGTCAAGGGCACATGCCCAGGTTGCAGGCTCGGTCCCCAGTGGGGGGTGTGCAGGAGGCAGCCAATCAATGATCCCCTTTCCTCGTTGATGTTTTTTATCTCTCTCTTCCCTCCCTTCCTCTCTGAAATCAATTATATATATATATATATATATATATATATATATATATATATATATGAAATAACTATATATATTTCATATATATATATGAAATAACTTTTCAGTGTGTTCAACCCCTAAGTTGGAGCTTTTTTGTTATAGCAACTGGCATCACCCAGCTAATACATTCCACTACTTTAGAGGCTATAGGACCTAGTCAATGACATACCCTGTCTGAGCTCATGTAGGCACTCAGTCAATATTTGTCAAATTAATTGAATTTATACTTGTAAACTGATTACATTGAACTATACCATCATCCCTAATACATATCCTCATCTTACATTCAATGACCTAAAGATTATTTGAATGTTGGGCCAATTTGGGCACTGGGCCAATTACTGACCTTTTCAACAACCATCCCACTCCCAGCAGGAAGGATTTAAGAAATTCCTGAGAGATGCACCTGGCTTTATTAGATGACCCCACCTTGAGCACTGTAGCCTTTCCTCCCCATAGTCATTACCTGTATATTGTCATGGTTGACATCCTTGTCTTTCTCCCTGTTGTCTGCCTTCTCTTTGAGGGCAAGGATCATGTCTCCTTGGCTGCATTCCAGTCCATTACAGAAAGACCCTGGGACATGCTCATTGCTTCATGAGTGCTCTTTAAATGAATAGAAGAATGAATGAATGACAGCAGAATGAAAGATTGCATGCAGAATAAATGAGTCTGGTTAGAGGCCACCCCAGTTCCTCTGGTAGTCTTCTCCTGCCTCCCTCACTTCCCCTAAACAGCCCACAACCTGTGCTAGTCCTTTCCTCTCTGGGCCTGGTGCCATTTTCCCTGGATTCCCTCCCAGGCCTTTGTAGAGCTTGTTTCTGGTGCCTTTCATGTACTCATCTTCACCTCTTCATATGACAGAAGTAGCAAGTCACAAGCTGACGTGAGTGGTGACTTGCAACATTTACAGAGAAAAAGAACCACTTTTCCAACTTTCTAGGGTGGCAGCCAGCACTCTTGATAAAGAATGTAAGTTAGAGACTGAAAATTCCAAAAGGACACTCTTCAATGTTTTCTTCTGCCCCAAATATGGAGGTGGTGAGCATGCACATGTGTGATTTATGTAAGTGCATGTTTGTGTGTGTGTGTATAGAGGGGCATAGCCATCTGTGTGCTTCAGAATTTTATCCAAAAGGAGCAGATATCTTTAAATCATGTCTAACTTGTTTCACAATGATTTCCTTTTTAAAAGAGATATGAAAAACCTAGAGATGATCAATGAACTTACCTTGTATGATTCCAACCATATGGCATTCTGGAAGAGGCACAACTATGGAGACAGGAAAAAGATCAGTGATTACCAGGGGTTAGAAAGAGGGGACAAGCACAGATGATTTTTAGGACAGTGAAAATACTCTCGATGACACTATGATGGTGAGTATATGTCATTGTACATTTGTGACTATCCACAGATTGAACAACACCAAGAGTGAACTCTTGGAAGAAGCATGGACTTTGTGTAATTGTGGTATGTCAGGAAGGCTCATCCCCTGCTACAACTGTACCACTCTGGTGGATAATGGAGACAGGGTGGAAAGCAGTGTCAATGAGCAAAAGGGGATGGGAGTGGGGTGTACTTTCTTTACTTTCTGCTCAATTGCGCTGGAAACCAAAAACCATTCTTTTTTTTTTAATATATATTTTATTGATTTTTCACAGAGAGGAAAGGAGAGAGATAGAGAATTAGAAACATCGATGAGAGAGAAACATCGATCAGCTGCCTCCTGCACATCTCCCACTGGGGATGTGCCCGCAACCCAGTACATGCCCTTGACCGGAATCGAACCTGGGACCCCTCAGTCCGCAGGCCGACGCTCTATCCACTGAGCCAAACCGGTTTTGGCCAAAAACCATTCTTAAATATAAAGTTTAGAAATGATTTTTAAAAAACATTAGATAAAAAGTAAGGAAGTTTAAACAAAATATGGACTCGAGTAATAATTATCAACAGAGAGGTTACCAACAGGGAATCCTGGGTGAGATGTGGGGCAGCGTAACTACTAGTATCTTGAAAATATTTTGTAAAACCAATAATATATATATATAATGAATGAGAGGATGAGAAAGGAGAGAGAGGGAGGGAGAGAGAAGATTTATCCAAGAATGATCCTTACTTTTTAAAAAAATATATTTTATTGATTTTTTCAGAGAGGAAGGGAGAGGGATAGAGAGTTAGAAACATTGATGAGAGAGAAACATCGATCAGCTGCCTCCTGTACACTCCCTACTGGGGATGTGCCCGCAACCAAGGTACATGCCCTTGACCGGAATCGAACCTGGGACCCTTGAGTCCACAGGCCGACGCTCTATCCACTGAGCCAAACCGGTTAGGGCCTTATATTAGAAGGCCTTAAATTTAATTCTTCTTGAATTGTGTGTCAGGCATGTTCTTGGGTGACCTAAGCCTCAGCTCCACATCTGTACCACAAGGATCCAGGCTGGACTTTCCTTCACGGATTCTTGTGAACAAAGTGAGGCGCCTTTATGTAATCCATTGTCCATGAGCCAGTGATGCCCTGGATCCTGGGAGTATAGGGAGGTTGTAGGAACCTGCTGTGAACAGTCATTCTGGGGCTCCAAACCCTGTCCAGTTTTCCCAGTGCCCTGTAGTAAAAGTATAAAATTTTCTCAGTGTACCTAGATGTGAAATAGTACGGGGAAAACACATTAGCACAATGCCAGTGCGTTGTAAGCACTTACTCGAGTGACCGTCTATTTCTCTCCATGAACATCCATAAAAACGTGGAGGCATGGGCAAGATCAGGGGCCAATGACACTGATAGAAAGAATGTTGACTGTTTATGAAGTCACTGTTTGAGCTGGATCTTGAAGGATGAGCCAATGTGAGCCTAACAAAGTAAGACTGGAAAAGCATTCCAAGTATGGGGAACAGAGAAGCAAAGGCAGGAAGTGGGCAAGTGAACTGAGTATTCAGAAAGTGGTGGATGAGTATCCTAGTGTGGCCAGATTGTTGTTGTTGTTTATTTGTTTGTTGTTGTTGTTGTTGTGTGTGTGTGTGTGTGTGTGTGTGTGTGTGTGTAAATGAGTTTGGAATGACAGGTTGAGTCAACAGGGAAAGGTCTACATAGCTTGGCCTAATACTGTGCCCGCCTTACTTGAAATAGAAAGATCAAGGCAGAAGTTGGGATGGGATCACAGGAAGGCTGAATGTCCACAGAAAGCCAGAGGGGGAAGTCCCATGTTCCCTGTCAAAGCTTAGAGAAACATTCTCAGAAAAGATCCTGGAGTCCACGTGTTTCCTTTAAATACGCTTTGTGTTCTGACCTATAGTCTTCTTCCAGAAAAAAAAAAAAAAGCTGGCTGCGTCCTGAGGATCAAGATGAATTCCTCATTATTTCAGAGGCCACCTTGATCTATATCTCCCTGTGGAACAAAGCTGCTTTAACTTGTCTACGTCCAAATGACGTAGGAGTGGGAGTGGGCAACGCTGACTTCAGTGACATGCAGGTGGGGGTGTCTTTGGCCTGTGGCCAAAGTGTGGCGCTGTTTCCTAAAACACCACACTGTGAGTGCCTATTTGGGGAGTATGTGTTCTATAAGATGGTGGTCGGAACCATGGGGATGGATCTCTTCATGAGCTGATTTTATAAAAGGCATAGAGCTTGGGGAAATGGCCACCTCCGATGGCATTTATGTAAAGACCCTTTGAACCTCTGAGTAAACCAGTCAACATCCACAGCTTGAGTGGAATCCAACCACAATTAGGACTTTTGGTGTCTTTATTGTGGGCCAGGCCAGCACTTTTAGAAAATTTCAATTAGATGGCAGCTCAATTCCATATACTCTCATCTGGATATTGGGGCATTTCTTAAAAGTTCAAGAACTCTCCATTTGTTTCAAAAAATGTATATACAAAAACAATTATGACTTCTGAAAATACCAACCCCAATGCCACATGTTCTCAGCCAACTGGAGCTGAGTGCTGACCTTACTACCAGGACCTACCCGGATTGTCACAGTCCCCCCTGCTCTTTAGTGTCTCAGCCCCAAAGGCAGATTGGTTGCATTTATTGCCATTTGTGTACTATTGTTCTTCTTATGGCTGAGTTAAGAAGAAGAGTACAACTTCTTGTGCCCAGATATGAAAAGGGAGGTGGCAAAATATAATGAGGTCCACATCTTCTTTGGCAAGTGAGTCTCCTTCTCTATGTTTAACATCAAAATGAAATATGTCTGTTTTTAAGGAATACAGCTGGAGTCCCCATTATGAACCAAATCATCCTCATTTACATTATGCCCATAAATAATTTAGTAGGAAAACCTAAGGGAGGTACTGTGATTGTCCTCAATCTATAGATGCACACACACAGGTTCAGAGAGGTTATGTGACAGCTGTGACAAGGGTTAGGTGAATGCTCTGTCATTCTGGTATGAGACTGCCTATCAAAGGTTGACCAGAATGAAGATCCCATGTGTGACCTGAAGGTGAATTTCTTCAGCAGAAATCCCCAGATCAGGAACTCACTCCCTACCAGCCATTCGGAGGCCCTGGATTCCTCTGCCCAATAGTCACTTCAGGTGCCTCAGTGAAAACAGAGACTCAGACACTGAGATGTGTTTCCCAGCTCATCCACTCATCAACCCAACATTTACTGAGAATGGCAGGTAGGAAAATATCAGACAATGGATGCAGGGAGTCCCAGATTTAACTCTGGGCTCCTCATCCTTCTGGCTGTGTGACCTTGGACAAAACCTGAATATCTCATGCTTCAGTTTTCCATCTGTAAAATGGGGTGAATCACCGCTTCCCATATCATAGAATGGATGTGATGAGAACGAACGGAGAGATTTCGGTAAAATGGACCTAGCACAGTGCTTGGCAGCTATGGTTATTTTTGTTGTTTATAACTTTCCCCAGAGATATTGCTGCATCAAAGAGTCCCTCAAAGAGGGTCTCTGCGAGGCTGAGCTGTCCTCCCAAACTGGCTGCTGGGGGAAGAGGAAGGGCTTGGAGGGCGCGGTCTAATGTCCTGTGTGTAACCCTCCGCCCACTTTACACCAACCACTTTCCCTGCAGGCGCTGGCTCCCTCCGAAGGGGCGTGGCTGGGAGGAATGTGAAGACAGCTGCACAGGTGTGTGCCCTGTGAACACCCTGTCTGCCTGGGCTCCTATAAAAAGGGCCTCCCCTGCCTTGCACTGCAGATGAGACTTGCTCTGGCACCGGGAATTGCACTGCATCTTCATACTCAGAACAAGGTAAGAGCCTGCCCTTTAAGAGTGTGCTTGCCTGCCCCACTTTCAGCTTTCCCCAAAACCTCAAGTTCCTGAGGTCTGGATCCTAGCAGGGGTCCCATTGCCATGAGGAATGAGTGGGTCTTCATCTGGTATACCTAGCCTCACGCCCCACCTTCCTTTGGGACCCCACATGCCTATGACTGCCTTCCCCTTTCTCAATCCTAATAGCAGGTCAAAATGCCTAGGCTGGAAATGAGACCAGGGCCATTTCCTAGGCCAGCCTTTTTTTTTTTTTAATAAAATTCAGTATTTTCTTTTAAAACGGAGCACCAATAATATGAATCATCTTGCCATTGTGAATTAAGCCAAACCAAATCCTGAATTGTTCATGATTGCTCTTTTATTTCTTGCCAATATTTTTGAAAGGCAGAGGAAGGTGAAGGTGAGAAGGGTGGTATAAAGGACCAGAGAGATAAGTTCTGGCTGCCTGTCCCAGCTTTGTCACTTGCCCTTCATGGGATCTTGAACAATTTATTTGCCGGTCTGAGACTTAACTGCCCCATCTGTTACCTGGAGAGATTTATTATTACCTGCCAAGGAGTACTCTTGTGTGGATCAACAAGGTGAGACTCAGACGCTGGTCAAGTGCACAGAAATGCTATTTTTCTTCTCCTTTTCAGTGTAGTTTTGTTGCCCACCTGACATAATCCATGTAGGTTGGCATAGCATTTAAGGTCATCCTATTCATTCAATGATTTGGGGTTTTTTGTGTGTTTTTTTTTAAATAATTGATTAAGGGCATTCTGTATGCCCAGGATTGTGCTAAGCAGTCTAAATACTCTGGTGGAAATTCACTCCTATCTACCTCGGTTCACTTTGCCCAGTCAAATTGAATGATCTCCCCTTCTTTATGCCTTTTCTTGGGTTCTTACTTCATCCCAATTGCCCCTCCTCACAAACCCACCCATCTCAGAGTGTACAAACCTCGTGCATGTTTAACCTTGGGTCAAACATCACTTTGCAGGTCATTTCCTGTGTCCTTTCTCATAGTGTGGTCATCTGATTCCATGTAGAACTGTGATATAGAAATCCAGCACATCGGAGCTGGAGGAGTGGGCAGTTATCTCATGCAACACCTTGATTTCCAGATAAAATAACTGAGACCCAGAGGGAGAGAGTGACTTGCCCAAGATCAAGCTGGGGACACAATTGGGACAGACTCCTGATCAATACTATTTAGAATCCCCAAAGAGTTGCCTCTAAGTTTTTAAGATGTGAAACTTTCTTATTTACCTTGGTATATTCAACATATAGTCCGGTGTGTGGCATACAGTAGGTGCTCCATAAATGCCTGTTGAATGAGTGAATAAAAGCATGAGTGAAAGAGCAAATGAAGGCATAAGTGAGTGAATGAATGGGGCTCAGAGAGTGGTGAAGGAAGAAATGAAGGGTAGGAAATTTTCACATTCAAGACTCCAGTCAAGCAGAAATATGAATAAACAGACTGCTTGTCTAGTAATTTCAGAAATCAGAAGGATTCTTGAACTTACTCCTAGGCAGGCAGGCAAGTACCAGGGTGGAGGGAGGGTCAGCTTACAGCCTGTAGTGCGAAAATGCTGCCCAGCATGGACTCACCTGCCTTTTGTCAAACAGGTTCCCACCAAACTAAAGACATGAGGATTCACAGCCTCACCTTGCTGTCCTTCCTCCTTCTGGCCGCTCAGGTGTTCTTGGTGGAGGGCAAAAAGGAAGTAAAGAAAAGAGGTGGCAGCAAAGCCACCACAGAAAAAACACAGACGCTGGGCAAGCCCTTGAATGAGCAGAGAAACCAGCCACCCAAGCACCTAACCAAAGGCAAGTTTGTCACCCAAGACCAGGCCGACTGCAGATGGGTGGTGACTGAGAAGGAGGAGGGCATTGTCCTGAAGGTCGATTGCACCCGACAGGATAACAAGTTTTCCTGTTCCTTTACGGGCAATCCAACTTCGTGCCTGGAGTCGACCAAAAAGGGTGCCTATTGGAAGCAAATCGGCCGGAGCCTGCGCACTCAGAAAGTCATCTGTGGGGACTCAAAGAGCATCCTGAAGACCAGGGTGTGCAGAAAGAAGTTCCCAGAATCCAATCTGAAGTTGGTGAACTCTACTCTAATTGGGAAGAAACCCAGCCAGGAGACAATGGAGCCCTCTCCCAGGGAGCAGAGCATGACCAATGAGGCCTCCCTCATGGAGCCTAACAAGGTCAAAGAGAACACCCTCGCTGGCCCAGCAGAGTCCTCCATCAATCCCGAGTGTCTGGAGGACCCAGACATGATGAACCAGAAGAAGGCAGCCCTGGAATACTGTGGGGAGTCCTGGAGCTCTTTCTGCAAATTCTTCTTCACCATGGTGCAGAGTGAACCATGTTAAGGAGGTCAGAAGAGAACAGAGCTCCATTAGGTGCATGTCCAAGCCTTCAGGATGCTGTAAAGCTCTCCAAGTTCCCTGTAAAACGAACATTTCTATGAGCGCGCAGGAATTAAACAGAATTTGTAATTTTTTGTTTTTGGAATTTGCTTTATATTCATTTCCTTAGGTGTGATTTTCAGAGGTTGTTGACTGCAATGTTTCCATGGCCCACAAAGCTGTGTGCATCTGAGCAGTAATGACCACTCTTTGAGCTGAATGAGCCAGAGGGATGATTTCAGTGTGATGCACTTTTGCTTAATTAACAAAATTAATAAAGCTCTGTGCATTTTTCAAAAATTTTCAACCATTGTTTGTGTCTCTGCATCTAGTTCCAACACACTCATAAGCAGGCCTCCACGTGTCAGTGCAAAAAATATCTAAGGAACAATTTCCTGTTCCCCATTCATCCCAAGTCATCCCATAAGGTGACCCACTCCAAACTCCTATCTTTACACTTTCATGCCTTGCTCTGTGGTGTTTGATGCTCACTGTACTGATTTCAAGTGGGACACCTTGGGGATGAGTGAGACACCTGTCAGGGTCTCACAGATAGTAGGCAGGATTTGAACGTAGGAGGTCTCCAAGCCAAGTCCACATGCTGGATAAACACCCTATACTGGCAAAGTCAGAGCTGCCCATTGCCAGCCACCTTATGCAGGACCCCTGATCTTGAGTAGCTCATTTCTAGCCTGAGGGAGAGAGATCTGCATAAGAACAGTGCCCTGTGATAAAGGCTCCATGGAAAGGATGGAAAGGAAAAAAGCAGAAGAGGAAGAAGCTGCTGGAAGAACTCAGCTTGAGCTTCACGGAGGGGATGATACTGGAGCTGGAATTTGGAGAGAGTATCTTTAGGGAGGAAACAGGGTAGAATGGAGGCACTGTAGACAGATAACAGCATGTATAAAGGCAAAGACAGGAGAAAATTATAGAGGCTGGGAGAGGCCACATGGCTGGAATGTAGTGGGGTTCAGGGATGACACTGCTGTCAATAATTTACATGTTAGTATGAAGAATCTTAAAGTGTTTTAATGCTATAGCTGGGAAGAGAGAATTAACTGTCCCCAATGCCTTGTCACAATTCCACAAAGAACAAAAAGTGAGGAGTCGGAGTTGGTAAGAGCACTGTTCTTTAGAGCCTCTTTGGGATTGGTGGCAGGGAGGAATGGCCAGTGGCGTGGAAGAATCTCATTTTACCAGGACCTACACTGAGCATTGTCAGCCTCAGAGTTGACAGCCTCAGATTCAGTTGATTATCATCATCAACTTCATCAACTCGACATTTATCTCTCATTTTCTATGTCCAGGCACCATACTAACCTTTCCCCATGGAGTATACATGTATTTATTCATTTAATCACTCAATTAACACACAGTTTATTAAGCACAGACTATCAGACTCTTGTAGGAGCTCAGGATACAGCGATCTACAAGAGATGAATGCTCTGCCCCCATGGGGCTACCAGTGGGGAAACGAATGGTAAGCTCACAAATACACAAGCATCAAAGAGGAAAATTAAAGAAAGAGGAGGGGGTAGAAGTGATGGAAGACAACCTGTCTTAGATGAGATGGTTAGGGGAGGCCTATCTATGGAGGTGACTTTTGAGTCTAGATCTAAATTAAGTGAGGCATTAAATCAGGTGACGCTTTTGGGTAAGGATGTTCTAAATAGTGGGGACAGTGGGTACACGTGTTCTGACATTAATTAATAAGCTGTGGGCTCCTACTGTGTGCCAGGCATGGTTCTAGAGGAAGGAAATAATAGCAAACGAAAAAGAAAATTATCCTTCTTTTTATGGTGTTTATATTCCAATAGCTGGGTCATGCATGACATGTTCAGAAATATCAAACATTACAGACTCACTCTAGGACACAACTGACCTATAAACCTTATCCCCACACCCAAAAGTATGGACCCAACATCACAGGCCCTCCTCATGGTCCTCCTGGCCACACAACAGGAGCATTTCCCTTAAAGTCTACACAGATTGTCAGCCCTTTGCCCCCTGCCCACTCATACATATTAATTCTACATAGTCTTGAAATAGGAAAACATTTCCAGAGGTCATTAAACAATAACACTGCTCTGGTCTGGATGATGTAAACATTGGAAAACAGACCAGACCAGACCAAAGGGAAAGCCCTCTTAAGGTCCCTTTTAGCCCATAAAGCTAATGGTTCTTCTAAATCACTCATGGCTCTGGCCAATGGCAGAACTGGGAGGAGCCTTGTTTCTAACATAGTGGGGTCGGCAGGATCTGGGTTAGAGGTTTCTCTCTGCTGCTTCTCAACCAAGATCCCTGGGTCAATTATTTAAATCTTCTGAGCTCCAATGAGCTCATCTTAACAATGGGGATAATGAAACCATCTTTAATCCTTTTCGATCCAACGTGGAGGCTGACTCGACAGACCAGGCGCTAGGAGCAGGTCCAATGTCGAGGCTGAGGTTGACACCGAAAACCGGTTCAATATTCAATCCCGTCAATTAATTTGGACCATACTGTTTGAATTCCAAAAATAAAATTGGACCACAAAGGGTTAAGGGTTGTTGTAAGACACATATTGGTCAATACATCTTGAGCACCTAGAGTCGCACCTAGTGTTCACATAGTAGGTTTTCAACACAAATGATGGTCTTAAGTCCAAAGTGTAAGCCTGGTTTTGGAGGGAGGCCAAAAAATTATGTAAACTTTAAAAGTGTGAGGTTTTTTTATTTAATACAAAAAGCAACAAGGAACAGCCATTATTGATCATCTATTATGTGCCGGAGGCTTTGCCCATTTTCTTATTTAATCTCCCAACAATTCTGTCTCATAGATATTATCATCCTCATTTTCTAGATAAGAAAACTGAAGCTCAGAGAAGCTGAGCAACTTGCCGGGGTCACAAAGCCTATAAGAGGCACAGCCTGTACCTGGGAAACCTAGGTCTACAGGTCTCCAAGCCCATTCTGCCTTCACAGCTCACAATCTTCTTCCCTTGATGAGAGAAGAGTGGCATGTGTGGTCTTCAGGCAGGAGCCAAGCCATTAAGTAAACAGGGTGCATCAGTCCCTTTTATGTTCTTTTTTAAAAATATATTTTTATTGATTTCAGAGAGGAGGTGAGAGGGAAGGAGAGATAGAAACATCAATGCTAAGAGAGAATCATTGATCGGCTGCCTTCTGCACACCCCCTACTCGGGATCGAACCCAAAACCCAGTTGATGAAGCTCCTTAGGGATTCTAGCCCGTAGGTCAATGCTTGGTTATTTATCTTCATTATTTAGCAATGTGGCCAAAAATGAATTGACAGCTGGGACTGGCAGATGTGGAGAAGAGAGCAACATAAATTAAGGTAGGATCATCCCACTGTTAGAAAATTAGATTGCTGTTAAGTGTTTCTTATTATAAACAATGCTGTTAGGAACCATCCTTAAAGATAAATCTTTTTAACATTAGGATTTTTTCCTTTAGGGAAAATTCCTAGAAAGCAGACTGCAAGGCCCAACCCTGTGCTTCTGAAAGAAGCTTTTTATTATTTTAAAACTCAAACATTCATAAGTAAAGAGATGAATGTCGTACATGTCTAAGTACCCTTCACTCAGTTTAAACGACTATCCACTCATGGCCAATCTCACTTCACCTAGAAAAGGTCCCAATTATCCTCTCCCCTGGATTGTTTTGAAACAAATCCCAGACACACATCATTTCATTCGTAAATATTTCAACCTGTACCTCTAAGACAGAGGGCAAGAGCATGCACGTTTTCAAAGCTCTTGGCGCATATTGCCAAACTGCCTGCCAAAAAAAAAAGTTACAAAACTTATATTCCTGCCAACAGTATAAGAATGTGGCCCTGTCTCCTCATTTTTATCAACCTCAGGTGTACCAGTTCTGGTGGTGGGGGTGGGAATTAAATACACAAAGTTCAATAGTGGTGATTGCAGATAGGGAACCAATTATAATGATATTGGAAAAGCTAAAAGGGCTCAGTGAGGCAGCCTCAAGCCAGGGGCTTCCTACTCGTAGCCCAGTGCTAGAGAGACAAAGGAAGCAGGTGTGTGACTGATCCCAGGGCCAGGGCATGCAGCTGGAGCCAGGACACTGGAGGGAGGAACCCTCTGGGGGAACAAGAACCAAAGAGGCTAGAAATGCCACCAGACACACAGAGAGAAAATGTCCTGGCTTCCTCTCTCCCACTGTTCCACTGGCTAATCCTAACCTGAAGCCAACGACCTAGAGTCTGGGAAATGAGTTTGCATCAGCACCCCCAGCGCCACCCCACAAACGCAATGGCAGTGCAGGAGAGATGGGGCATGCTCTGAGGGCCAGCAGCCACTGGAAGCACCCTGAGCATCACCATTTTGTTCAGCTTTGTTCATTGATATGAGCTATTTAGAGCCCCCAAATGTCCGCAAGTCATGAGCGAAGGCATGAGATTGACAAATATAAAGCGTCGACTACAGAGCAAGAAGAACGCGTTGTTGAAGAGAAAGTAAATTAGTGCAACCCATTTTGAGGGAAACTTGTCAACATTTCTCAGAATTTACAATCTCAAGCCCTTCAGCCTATTCATTCCCCTTGTAGAGATTTATGTACATATATTCGCACATAACAAAGATGTGTTATTATGGTATTATTTATAGCAGCAAAACATTGGAAACAACAGGCATATACATAAGGACTGGTTGAAACCATGAAGGGGTTAGTTAGAATTATTCTAAGAAATGCGGCTAAAGAAATGTGTTTAAAAAAAGTGTGCATACCATGCTTCCATATGTTTATACATTAATATATGTATAAAATATGTCTCAAATTGTATAAAATTGTTTTTCAAATCACTGGCAGTAGCTATTGCCTTTGGGGAGAGAAAACAGAAGATTGAATGAAATAGGAGAGAGACCTATGTACCCTTTGTACTTTTAATATTTGTTCTCTATGCTTTGTGTTAGGGTGAACCATATAAAATTGTCAACACGGTATCACTTTTGATCCATAAAACAGTAATTTCATATGTTCTCAAATTAACATTGCTTTTTTCTTAATTTATGTCTTATTGTTGACAATATTACAGATGTCCCACATCCCCACACTTATGTTCCTCTCCCCTTAGCCCCTGCCCCACCTAACATTTATCAATGAAAGAAGTAACTAATTTTTAAAAGACCAACCAGGGCTCTATTTCATTGGGACATGAATTTGGAGTTGGTATTTTCAGTAAAGTAAGAAGGTGACCCATGATGTGTTCTCCCCTGAGTGTCAGGGTGATTTCATGTCTTCTCAGAATTAAATGAGAAAAGCTCATGAACTTGAATCTAGCAGGAGA